AACATTTACCAAACTGATGAGATATCAAAGTATCAGTATCAGAGTCAGTATTAAAACCACACAGTCCCTCAAAGGACTTCATGTGAGTTTAATGAACTCAATGTATTCTGCTGAAGCGTAAGGAAGCCCCACTCCGGCGTACAGAGGCTCAGTGAAGGTGGTCTGGACTTTGTGGACAGGGATCATTTTTCCATCGATGATGCTGTAGTAGATCAGAACACCTGCACTGTGATCCAGGTAAACTCCTATCCTGGAGGAGAGAGGACCTGAGATGGCAGTGGATTCACCTTTGTGCCATAAGGAGAAATAGATAGTGCCACAATGCAATGACCACGACTTGTCGCTGTGTCCGAACACAGCCAGATCCTGGTGCCCTTTCCTCTCGTTGCTCTTGTAAGCGAGGCTGAAGCACACCTGAAGGCCTTTCCACTCCATCTCCAGGTAACAGCGTCCAGTCAGAGCCTCTCCGCTCAGGGCCTGGGTGTGAACATCGAATCTGTCGGGGTGACAGAAGTACACCTGCTGTCGCTCCGTGGCTGTTGCCTTTCTGTTCCCCTCAGATAACAACAGCCGTCTGTTTGCTGTGTTTGGATCCAGAGTGATAACACGGGACAATTGGATGAACTCAGCTCTGGATCTGGGCTCTGGTTTGGGCAGTAACATGTCCACTTTACTCAAAGCCAGAGCAATTCCACACCAATCCTCCGTCACAATGTCCAGAAGTTTATTCAGGTCTTTTGTCACGGATGCTGTCACTTCGTTAAAGTATCCCAGAGGACGGGGTTTGATGCTGGATGTGTCTGTAGATCCACTGAGAGGTGGCAGGGAGTCGTAGATTTGTTGAAGCTGGTTGAGATCCTCTTCCTGTGAGAGTTTTTTCAGCTCAGCGTCTCTGCTCTTCAGCTCAGAGATCTCCTTCTCCAGCTTCTTATGAAAATCTCTGACCTGATTTCCTTCAGATTCCTGTTGGATTCTGATCCGCTCCTTCATCATAGATCTCATGTTCACCATGGCCGTGAGCACCTCTGTATATTTTTCCTCACTGTGCTCCACTGCTTTATTAGCAGAACAGTTGATAGCCTCCTCTTCCTCTTCAAGCAGCTTCACATATTTATCTCTGTCCTGGATCCTCTTCTGAATGTTCTGTCGACTCACCTCCAGCTCTTTCTGTGTTTCAGTCCTCTCAACATCCAGGAGTCCAGTCTTCTTCAGCTGCTCCACCAGGAATGCTAACATGGTGTCTTTAACCAGGTCAGGTCTGGGTGTGAAGGCCTTCCTACACTGAAGACAGCTCTCCTTTTGATTCTGTTTCTCTCCATCCCAGTAGTTTTTAATACAGCCCATGCAGTAGCTGTGTCCACAGGGAATAGTGACCGGATCCTTCATCACATCCAGACATATCGAACAGGAAATGGAGTCCAGGTCCAGCTGAGCTCCTTTCTGAGACATTTCTCCTCGTTGTAGTCACTGTGAGAGAGTTTCTGAGATCAGAGAAGTAGGGTGTTTCTCAATCGCGAGTACGCTTGCTTGGTAGCACATGTCTGCCGAGCATCTTGCTTCAGAAGCGAGTCAAGAATACTTCCTGGCATTCGGAAAACAAAGAGTGGAACAGGCTAGCAAGTGTGCAGGTGTGCGTCATATGAGAGGCCCCGCCTTACATTTTCCGTCACATATTTGGGGAAATTGGTCCGTGCGCAAAGCATTGTGGGGATTTTAAGACCGCAGAGTCTACTCATGTGCAGCCTCGATATCTCTCCAAACGGAGTACGCCGGGCTCGGTAGATTTCCAAGTATGCTGGAGATTGGAACAGTACTTCGGCGGCACTCGATGACGTAGTATGCTTGAAATAGTGGCTCTGGAGCAGCTTTACTCGCGATTGAGAAACACCCGTAGTGTGCTCTGACTCAAAAACAAACACGGGGCCTTTACTTCCCTCTCATTGGCTGATCTGCACCAATGGGTGTTCAGAGCGGGAGGAAGAGGGCGGAGTTATCAAACTTGCACGCGTTTCAGAAGGCCTTCTCTTAAAGGGGCAGTCCTTTTTTATTATTATGAGAGAAGATAAAATACTCTATTGATCCACATTTGGGATTTATTTTCGTAACAGTAGCATAGATAAGACATTGCACATACATTTGAAGTAAATAAAAAAATAATGCAATTGGCCCTTATAGTGTATATTTGATAGACAGACAGAGATTATTTTGGAAAGCAGTGTTGTCGAGCCTTCGCACATTTTTAAAGCAGTTCCTCTGGAAAACAAACGTTGCTTTATAGTGGCTTTTTAGATGCTTTTAAATTGCCAGTAACAATAATACAGGGATTTTTGCCAGGTTGTGGAAAAATCAAGTTCATAATAAGGCGAAATGTGAAATGGGACATGGAGTTCTTGTATTATACAGAAACATTACAAACCAAAACACTAACCAAAAAGCCCTAAAACTAAACTATTCTAACCATAAGTACCACACGGTCTTGTTACATATTTGTGAAATCACTGTAGACTTTGGTATAGAATAAGTTAGATATATTAAACACAGGCACATTGTAACATAATGGCATATATATAAATGATTTACATACAGAGTAAAGTAGAAGCCATTTAACAGACTCAATATCTGACATATTTGCCTAACCAGTGTTTACTTTGCAAAACCTGACATACGTAAAGACAATTTTAAAGTGTTATCATCCCATTGGGACCTCTGCAGACCACACTGATAATGGTACAGTTCATTTTGCACTTTTTACTCTAAAATGTTAAGTTTGAGAGTGGTGTTTTTTGGTAAATTGCAAAAAAAATAAAAGGAAAGGCTACAGACTTAAACATTCATATCAATGTGCACACTAACTGTAGAATAAAGTAGCTTCTCTTCAACAGCCCATTTACGTCCCTCTCCAGAATAAAGAGAATCATCCCTGGAGTCAGGACTGTCCCATTGTCTTCCAAAATAACTGCAGATTTCTTTCAGCTTTCCTACAAGTCGTTATTGGTGCTTCAGGTTTGCATTTGGTGATCAATCTGAGACCCTTTGAGACAGAAGAGGAGTCGTTTACTGAGAACTGTGCTGGAGTTTCTTTAGAGTCGTTCAGTGTCTCTCACTGCCTCGCTAAACCTGTTATTTGAATATTTGAAACTTGTCCCCAGTTTCCAAACTCTTCTTTTCCAACTTTATTTGTCTGAGCTGTGAACCAAGGATGGTGTTTAGGCATTTGAATAAATAAATACAACTCTTAAACTTTAAATCTGTCAAACTGTTGGTGCTTTGTGCTGCATATTTATTGTTATATATATTGACAAACTGCCAAGTCAAATGCCCGTGTTATCAGCGGTTTGAATGACTTTGTATACTGCAGGGTAGCTTGTGAATTTACTCCAGGTGGAACTAAAGTCTGATTTAAGAGTTGAATATATTTCACATCAATAATCCAGATCTGTAAAGTCACTAATACTACTACTACTACTACTACTACTACTACTACTACTACTACTACTACTACTACTACTACTACTACTACTACTACTACTACTACTACTACAGTACAGTGGAGTAAAAGTAAACCATTTACCTCTGAATTGTAGTAGGAGTAGAAGTACAAAGTAGCATAACATGGAAATACTCAAGTAAAGTATACAGACCCTTAACATTTTACATAAGTACAGTACTTGACTTAATGCACTTAGTTACACCACCACCACTTCAATTACACTATATATATATATACTAGGGCTGTCAGTCGATTAAAATATTTAATCGCGATTAATCGCATGATTGTCCATAGTTAATCGCGATTAATCGCAAATTAATCGCACATTTTTTATCTGTTCTAAATGTACCTTAGAGGGATATTTTTCAAGTTTTTAATACTCTTATCAACATATGAGTGGACAAATATGCTTTATATGTTTGTTTATTATCATTTGAACAATGACAAATATTCTCATGAATATTAAACACAACAACCTCTGAACATTACAAATATTCGCCTCAATTCAACCTGGAACCTCTCTCATACAATACAAAGTGTGTGTGTGTGTGTGTGTGTGTGTGTGTGTGTGTGTGTGTGTGTGTGTGTGTGTGTGTGTGTGTGTGTGTGTGTGTGTGTGTGTGTGTGTGTGTGTGTGTGTGTGTGTGTGAGAATGTGGAGACACTGTGATGGATCGTTGGAGCTATGTGCCGCTCAAGGCATATATGCTCGAACGTGTGCTGCCTGGACGCTGCAATCATGTTGCGCGTACTATCCGTGCTGAGTGCGCTGACTTTTCGTACAATGTCCCACTGTCTGGCTACCTGCATAAAGTCAAGTGCTCGGCGCAGTTGTCGGCGAAATGTCATCGAAACAGCTCCATATATCCGTTAGCGCAGCTAGCTAGCACCAGATGCTAACAACAACAACACGTAAGGTGTGCCTCGCTCGCACGAGTCGCGCCACGCATACGCACTCCCTCCCGGTCCTCCCGATGGCCAGTCCGGGCCTGCCGGTGAGCGTGGAAGTGTGGTCTGCCACAAGCGAGCGGCAGGAGCTGTCAGCATCAGCTTGTAGATGGTATTTTAAACTCGATGCGCTCTGAAACTACGGGGCGGCCGAGGACAAAAAATACACATGCGTTAATCGCGTTAAAATAATTAGTGGCGTTAATTTTTTTTTGCGTTAACGCGTTATTAACGCGTTAACTTGACAGCCCTAATATATACATCTCTCAAATATGAAAGGGGCAATTACATTATTTTGTGATTTACTTCTAACTCATGTGCAATGTCTTATCTATGCTACTGTGACAAAAAACGGTCAAATGTGGATCAATAGAGTATATTTTATCTTCTCATAATAAAGATGTACTGCCCCTTTAAGAGAAGGCCTTCTGAAACGCATGCAAGTTTGATAACTCCGCCCTCTTCCTCCCGCTCTGAACACCCATTGGTGCAGATCAGCCAATGAGAGGGAAGTAAAGGCCCCGTGTTTGTTTTTGTGTCAGAGCACACTACTTCTCTGATCTCAGAAACTCTCTCACAGTGACTACAACGAGGAGAAATGTCTCAGAAAGGAGCTCAGCTGGACCTGGACTCCATTTCCTGTTCGATATGTCTGGATGTGATGAAGGATCCGGTCACTATTCCCTGTGGACACAGCTACTGCATGGGCTGTATTAAAAACTACTGGGATGGAGAGAAACAGAATGAAAAGGAGAGCTGTCCTCAGTGTAGGAAGGCCTTCACACCCAGACCTGACCTGGTTAAAAACACCATGTTAGCATTCCTGGTGGAGCAGCTGAAGAAGACTGGACTCCTGGATGTTGAGAGGACTGAAACACAGAAAGAGCTGGGGGTGAGTCGACAGAACATTCAGAAGAGGATCCAGGACAGAGAGACATATGTGAAGCTGCTTAAAGAGGAAGAGAAGGCTATCAACAGGTTTGCTAATAAAGCAATGAAGGACAGTCAGGGAAAATTCGCAGTGTGGAACATTATCATGATGAAAATATGCTCTGATGTGAAGCAGAAGATCATATCCCAGCGGGAAATTGAACGAAATCGGGTCAGAAATCTTCAGAAGAAGCTGGAGAAGGAGATCTCTGAGCTGAAGAGCAGAGAAGCTGAGCTGAAAAAACTCACAGGGAGAGGATCTCAACCAGCTTCAACAAATCTACAACTCCCTGCCACCTCTCAGTGAATCTACAGACACATCCAGCATCAAAATCCGTCCTCTGAGATACTTTGACGGAGTGGCAGTAGAGGCGTCATCCGCCATTGAACAATTGGATGAGTTCATGGATAGTATGTCGGCAAATCTCTTAATGCTTGTGAGCGAGGTGGACGTTTTGATGTTGAAACCAGAGCCCACGACCAAAGCTGAATTCAGAACACATACTTGTAGACTCACCATGGATCCAGACACGGCACACCCACATCTGGACTTATCTATGGAGGACACGAGAGTCACAGACATAAACCAACTCCGGCGTCCATGTGCTGATCATCCTGACAGATTCGAGGTTCACAAGCAGGTCCTGAACGAAGAGGCGATTGTTGGACGCTGTTACGTGGAGATAGAGTGGGGAGGGTCTATGGTTGATTTTGCTCTCGCATACTGGAGTAATGAAAGAAAAGGGGACAACAATGAAGTTAGATTTGGATTCAACCAAAAATCTTGGGTACTACGTTGTACCGAAGGGGGCTTCCATTTTGCACACAATTGTGAGACCGTTAAGTACCCAGCTATTGAGTTCAACAGAGTAGGAATTTTCCTGGATCACAATGCAGGTGTTCTGTGTTTCTACAAGATCAAGGGTGACACCATGACCCTCCTCCACAGAGTCCAGACCACCTTCACTGAGCCTCTCTATCTGGGGTTTACATTTTATGACAATGCTGGAGACTATGCTGAGATCGTCTAACTCTAACTAGCCGTATAAAGTACTTGGGTTAAATGTTGTGTGGATGTTTCGTTTAACTCATTTTGTCTCTTTGCTGAGAGTGCTGACCCCACAGAGATCAGCTGTCAATCAAACTGCCTATCGTTTTGGTTGAATTTGTGCTAATGTTTTTTGTTCTTTTTTACCATGCTGAATGTATGATGGGATGTGTGAACAAAACTGAAGGCTTACATAATCAATAACGTTTTTTTTATTGAAGAATGATTGAAGTTTTGTCTCCTTTTCTTCGTCCCAGGGTGTCATACAAATGTGTGAATGTTATAGGATATTTGATTACATTCAACTTTATTGTCATTGCCCATTGCAAGTACAATTAAATGCAGTTTGCATACAACCTGAAAGTGCGTGAGGTTTCAATAAATTCACATAAAAACAATGTTGAAGTTTTGTACATAAATGTATACATATGAATACTTTTTGGGGGGAAATTAGCACATTGAAAATGACTTTTTTACTGTTTTTCCTCCTTTATTCAAGAAAAATATATATAATATATTATATATATATATATTATATTATATATATTATATATATATTTTATATATATATATATATATATTGTACATATACTCATTTAAATTCAGTAGTTCAAACAGCAACAGGGTAAGGGTGAAAAACAGGACAGCACAGATTAAAGATATCAAAAATTAAATCAAAGATACAAATTATAATGAAAAACTATGAAATAAGAAATGAATAAAAAATAAAAATGAGCATACATATTGGGTCATATAAACTATGAAGTAAGAAATGAATGAAAATGAACATACATATTGGGTCATATAAACATATTACATATTAGATATATTAACATGGGTTGTGGAAACTGTGCATTATTGACCCCTTGTTGTGCAGCCTGATGGCTACAGGCACAAAAGACTGTCCGAGGCGCTTGGTGCTGTGTCGTGGAGGGATGAGTCTGTGGCTGAACGTACTCCTCATCTTCACTAGCTCTGCATGGAGTATGTGGGAGGGGTTCTCTAGGATGCTGTCGAGCTTCCTCCTCGTCCTCCCCTCTGCCACCTCCTCCAGATTGTCCAGTTGTACTCCAACTACAGAGCTAGCCTTCCTCACCATCCCTTGTGTTGGTGTTTCCCCCCCAGCACACCACGGCAAAGAAGAGCACACTGGCCACCACAGACTGGGAAAACATCTGCAGCAGCCTCGTGCACACGTTGAATGACCTGAGCCTCCTCAGGAAGAACAGCTTGCTCTGTCCCTTCCTGAAGAGAGCATCAGTGTTGTCTGACCAGTCCAGTTTATTGTGTAAGTGCACTCCCAGGAACTTGTAGCTGTTCACCACCTCCACATCCTCCCCCCTGATGGTGATGGGGGTCAGAGGCCTCTTCCTGCTCCGCCTGAAGCCCACCACCAGCTCCTTAGTCTTGCTGATGTTGAGCTGGAGGTGATTGTTGTATATGTATATACCAGTGGCGGCCGGTGGTCTTTTTTTTTGGTGGGGCTCTTGACGTACCGTAAGTGACCTACCCGGGGGGTCCGGGGGGTTTCCCCCCGGAAACTTTTTTCGAGAAATGACCCCTTAAATGATGACTTCTGGTGATGTTAGAGGGGGGGGGGGAAAGGAGAAATCGAGGCTTAAAAATATGAGAAGACGGATCAATACCTCCATAATCTTCAGTGTGGAAAATATTATTTATCAACCTGAACATCTACTACTTTACCAGGAATTTGTGTTCTCAGAACTGGTCTGTTTTTTTCTTTCTTAAAACTGTTCATGTTTTATGAACCAACACCTTCACCAAGTAGCTTTACAGTGAACTGCATGTGAGATATCAAATTAATAGCATCTTTTCAGTAGCATTAATTATAAATATTTAAGTGGTTCAATACAAGTCACTACAGCATTTCAAACTGAACTGTGAATAAATGCAATTTAAAAAAAATAACCACAGCACAAAATGTCATAAATTGTGTTTTTTCTTTGTTTCTCTGAGGATTATTTACAAACAGGCTTATTTACATATAGCAATAACTCAGAAATGAAAAAGCTACATCGTCTAACACGAACAACCACTTAGCATAATGATAATATATGTGTTATGTACAATGTAACTGGCAAGGCTAGAGCAAGAAAGAACATAAAGTTTGCAAAAGGTTTAAATAACTTCAAGTATCTGTCTTCAGATTACGTGGAGGTTTTAGTCCGATGGGAAGCAGATTTTAAGCGACACCGAAGATAAACCAAAAATGTGGTGGAGCTGCAAACCGTGTAGTGTTGCTGGGACAGAACAGGAGCTATAACCGTTGGAAAATACATCACAGACAATGCAACAAACGTGGAGACAGAACAATCACTTCTGTGATAAATGCCCACTTATTAATAAACTTCTAACAACCATGGGAAACCTCCTCTCTACATATAAAGTGATATCCAAGCATGGGAAACAAAAGACAGCATTTACCTGTTTGCATCCAGCTAGCCAAGCCTTTCTTGTGTACCAGCTACTTGTGAAGCCTCGTGTATAAATGTTGTCTTTTTCACGAGATTGCTGCGATATATTCAAATCGGGTTGGTCCGGTGCAAGGTCTTTAAGCAACAATTTATCTGCCAAACTTCTCCTTTCGAAAGGATTGGAGATTAGCTCTTGAACAGAATTAGCCGGGGACCGAGGTCCGGAGACTCCACCTGCACACGAAGCCATCCTCATCAACTACTGCGTCAACCGGATACGAGTCACTGTCCAAACTACTCACAGACTGCACTGGGCGCTGACATTGGCGCCCGGTGACCGTCATCTTTGACGACGCTGATTGGCTGAAATTATATTTTCGCGGCATAGTTTACACGTTACAGATAGCAACAGTCAGCTGCTGGTGGCTGCTGCTGCACTGGTTGAAGGCTCCTCTCTTAGCGCCCAGACGAGAGAAGGTGCATGGGCAAGGCCAGGCAGGAAACATGTGACTTATCAGTAACTTTAGACATCGTAACACAATTTTAAACGAGATTTTATTGTAGATTATACATTTTACTGATACCAATTATATAATATTTACCTTGTTCATTAAAAATAAAAATAAAAACATATATATTTTTTTAAACATATTTTTTTTTTTTAATTTTAATTTTAATTATTATTATTATTATTTTTTTTCAATATGGGAAGAGGTGGGGCGGCGCCCCTAGCGCCCCTATGGACCGGCCGCCACTGGTATATACATACATATAAGTAAATGGAGAACGAAATATAAAGACAATTGTGATTAAAAACAAAATGTAACATTTCAGGTAAATATATTTATCCGATACACATTTGGTTTTGACTTCCTTCGTATTTTATGGATAGATACTTATTGGATCCCAATTTAGGGATTTCTTGTGTTACAGCAGCAGAGTGTTCAGGCAATACACTATTTAAAAGGTGGAATAATAACACAATCAGAAATAAACAGCAAATATAAACATATAACAGTAGAAAGCCCATACAATATAAAATATTCTGAATAGTTAAAATCTTTGATAAAAGACAAAAAAAATGCAGCAACAGAAATATAGATTTATACTACAGGAGCAGAGACATGTATACATATGATATAATATAAATGAAATGACAGATGTGCAAGGTGGCTGCATAGTTATTGAGAGGGAAAAACTAAAACTATGGGGCAGTGAGTTCTCTGGCAGCCACAGGTGATGTTTTTTTTAATAGTGGTGCCATATTGTTGTAATTTTAAGTAAACGTGTGCAAAAGTCAGTCGATTTCTTCTTGTGAATTTCTTCACCATTGCTGATGACCAGTAAATTGACTCTGACATGGAAGATGGGCGGACTGCCCCTTTAATTCCCCGGGTTTTAGGTGCAGTAAATCGGATTCCACCACTAGAGTTCTCCCTCTGTTTACCTCTGAGTGTTCACACACAAACCACCAGTCTCCAAACCAGCCGGAAAATCACTAATGTGAGCTTTCTGGTGCTCCATCCTTCAAGGATTTGTGTGTTAGTGACACCGGAGCAAAAGGTGAGTTTTATTTTTGTATTATTTTCAAGAAAAATGGCAAGAAAAAGTGACAACACTGCGGCTAGTTAGCACTGTTAGCTTAGCATTAGCTTAGCAGTAGCTCCTTATCCCGTGATGGAGGATTGTGAACATGGCGCCTCCAAAACAAGCGAGCCGTTTGCTTATTAGCAGACTTTGTTTGTGACGGATTTTTTAGCTTGAAGTGAAGCCAAAAAACACCTCCTATGTCGCTTTTATTGTGTATTTTTGTTGTTGACAAGTTGACTAGCTTTGGTTTAGCTACCGATAAGCTAATGCTAGCAACGTAGCATCGCTGACTGAAAAATAAATAACTCGCCAACCATACATGTAATGTTATTATGGGGAATTTATGTTATTAATTATGACACATTACATCTAAAGTGGCTGTTTGGTGTTATTAAGTGCAAGTTAAATCGGTTATTTTGTCTTGATGTGCTTTGACGTTATCTAGCATGCTTGTAGCTAAATACAGCTCGTTTAACAATAATGCATTTATTTTTAATTTATATAGTGCGTTTTTAAATATACATAGACCATTTTTTTTTTACAAAAGGCACACTTAACAAAGACAGTCGCTGAAAAAAGATAATTTAAAATACACATTGGCAAAAGCCCGTGGCCTTCCCTCTTTGTTGCCAAATCTACCAGTTGTGTTAAATGTGGCATTTATTTTGACATGCGTTGTTTGAAGTCTGATTATCCAGATGCTATTTCATATAATATATGTAATCCAGGAGTCATAGACAGATGTGTTCTCCTCATCAGCATGGTTGATATTGACAATGCTGCATCCTGTGTTAACTGTGCTACTGTCATTTAATCGATATCATAACAAATATACATGATTCTTGATATGCAGTGGTGTAAAGTAACTAAGTACCATTTTGAGGTACTTGTACTTTACTTGAGGATTTCAAACTTGTGCTACTTTGTACTTGTACTCCACTACAATTCTGGGGTAAATCCTGTACTTGTACTCCACTACATGTATTTAATACCTCTATATAAATTAAATGTATTATTATTATTATTAGTTACTTTACAGATGTGGATGAATGATGTGAAATATAATCAAGTGTTAAATCAGACTTTAGTTCCACCTGGAGTAAATCCACAAGCTACCCTGCAGTATACAAAGTCATTCAAACTAGCTGCACCTTTACCAGCTTTGAGAACACTTTAATGATCAATCATTATAAAACATATCATATATATTATTCTGAAATGGACCAATCTGCACAATGACTACTTTTACTGTAACAGAGTATTCCTAGACTCTGGTACTTCTACTTTTACTCAAGTACAAGATCTGAGTACTTCTACTTAAGTACAACATTAAAGTACTTAACTCCCATCTCTGTTGACATGGAGACACGTTTTTGAGGAGCTGTCATTTCCCCTGGGAGCCGAATCCCCCTCAACCTGTCCTCTAATTGGCTCCCTTTGTCGGACTAATTGCTTAGGTAGCATTTGTTCATACTGTAGTGTGATCCTCTGCAGACAGATGTGGATAACATTGTGAAAAAAATGGAAAGGAGTGTGTCAATTACAAGAAGAATTGTAAAAGTTATACCACCAGATGTCATTAGATATGGTTCAAATGCATTGGTTCTGTCATAGCTTGATTACTGTTTTGAAATGTGGTCCTATGGAAAAGTGAAACAATACATGTAGCTTAAAATAATGTGCATTATACTGCTCTTACAGAACTAGTGTAATATACATGCATGAACAATTGACTTGCGTAACTCTTAGGCAGAGATCTACTTATGCTTTGTTGAAATGTGTCAGAACTGTAACAGTGACACATCCATTAAGATATTATGTAAAACGTATTTTATCTCGGTACGCTCAACACAAACTTGTTTATGATATGCACCATAAAGAAGGTTCATGTTGCCTAAAGTGAATACAAATATGATACAGAAAACAGTCATGTACAGAGCCATGGTCACTCATTGCCGATGCACAAGAGAATACTAAAGATTGGTTCAGACTTTCATTATCTTTGTGGGGATCCTAATAATAAAAGCCAAGACAAAGTTAGCTGTGTGCTGTATTCATGCAAGCCCAGAATGCTGCTGCTGCTTTGGCATCATGGCACAGGTGTTAATTAAACAAGTGCACATTCAAGGTATACAAATAACAGCATTTTTTTCACAGCCTCAAAACCTTAAAATAGCAATGTTTTTAAATTGACACATGCGTCCTTTTCAAGATCCTTATGGCACAGATGGCCCTCCTTCACACCTCCTGACACAGAATGAGGAGGGATCACATTACTAATGAACCGTTACTCCTTCATGTCCCTGTTTTACCTTCATCTGTGTTGTGACACTGTGAAGTCTGCCCAACCACTTTCTTTACAATTTCACTATCTTAGCCGAGAGTGCCGGTCGGTTTAACCCAATTACGGTGGAAAAACTCGTCCCCCAGTCATCCCAAATCTGAGTAAATTAATGTTTACATATTTGTAATGTAATCATACCATTACCAACAATCAGAAATCCTAGGAAAAGAAAAACAGTGCAGAAATAATGACTTCATTAACATATTCACTTAAGAAACACGTGTTAATTAAACAAGTGCACATCCAAGGTATAAAAATAACAGCATTTCGACTTTTTTCACAGCCTCAAAACCTTTACATTTCAGTGTTTTTAAAGTGACCCCTATGTCCTTTTCAAGATCCTTGTTTTATATGATGTTATTTAAGGATATACTGTTTTTAATAGTAAAAACAGGCATTTTTGTTACATTTAAAGGGACCCCTTATGATCACAATAAGTGCTTTAGGTTCGCCTGCCTTGCAAACTTAATATCAAATGCATCAGGCTGATATATGTGTACTCAAGCTCAGATGATGTCTATCCACGAGTCTGTAAGATAGCAGAAATATTAAAAATAATATGCGTAAAGAGATCCCAATCCATCTCAGTTTAAGGACCCTTTACTTTGACCCAAAATAGTGCATTTGTAGAGTTGCCTTTTTTTGCTGCATCTGACCATGTTACCCCCCCCCACGCGGATCCACAGTTCATACTCTCCTGAGAAAAAAGTGTGAAAATGAACATCCTCTGTCAACATCTGTCGTCGCCTTTTCTACTACAAAGTACACCAAAACGCTCCGAGCTTTATTACGGTTAGCTTTTGGCCGCGGTTTATGCAAGTGACATCTTAGGTTTCACGGATGCTTTGGAGGAGAACCGCATTAAATTGGATTCGTAGATATTCCAGGAGTAAGGCCGGGCCTGAGCACCACAGGAAAGAAGCAGCCGGCTTTATTCAGAAGCTTTGAAGGTCTCTAGGCTTTACTCGTCATATTCCTCAGCATCCATCACGGTTCATGTATTTGTTTTGATGTCCCCATGTCACAGAGGGGGCTTGAAGTATTAAGAATGTCCTCGTAATGACAATAATGCTTAATATAAACATGGCTCTGAATGCCTTCCAGGAGAATTATGGCTTAGATGTATGATTTCTTTAAAATAAATGGTGCTTTGATCTGACTTTTAAGCATCATCTGAATGTATGTCTGGTGTTTGCAGCTTCATTTTGACCAACATCAAACACCTAGCATGTGATGAGTGATCACAACAAAGGTCACAACACATATGTCTTAAACTTTATTTCAAAACATCTCCAACGTTTGTGTGAAGTTAGGCACAAACACCTCAAATATCTTTCCTTTTATACTCTGAATGGGTCAGTTGTTGGTCAGTAAAACCACCAGAGGATCTGCTAACAACTTGATATTGAATCAGTCATTAAAAACCATAGCAACAGTTATAATAGCTGAATTAACTTAAGGAATTTCAAGGAAAAAAGACAGAGACCAGAATACCAACCCAAAAAAAATATGATGAAAGATGTATTTTTAGTTTCTTTGCTGTAATCCAAGGTGTCTGAATAAATAATAAATAAGCAAACCTTTCCAGAAATATATCCAAATGATAAGGACTTTTCTTTTTTGTATCTTACTATAAATCATGTTTTCTGTGTCTTAATATTCTGGCCATCTCATTTAACAAGAAGACAGTTTGATTATTACATATTTTGGATTTATTTTGATATTCTTGCTGATTTGTTGAATGAATTATCTGATATATTGCAGCTATTGTCCAAAATGCAACTGATTCACTACTCAAAGCATCCTTTGCTCCTTAATAATAGGAACTCTTGTTAGGTTTGACATGACGCTAATTAAGTGTCAAATGTCTAATTGACCCACCTGATGATCGAGGGTCAGTCGTTTCTTTAGAGACCCTCACATGTGATGCTCATGCTCACCGTCTGTTGTCCACCTGACCACCGTGTGCTCCTATCTTGCCCAAATCACTTGGAAACAAAACAGTGGATTCATTATCTTCACTGGTATTCTTAAATTGATATTAATAACACTAGAAAATGCCTTTTGTCAGTATTTTTGCTGTGAGAATGAACTATACTTCAACCTACTTTTCATCCACGGAACAAAAGATGTAACGCTGATTTTAATGATTGTTGTTGTCCTTTGTTTCCCCGCAGTGAAGATGAATAAGGAAATCATGTCCCGCGTGGTGAAGAAGAGGCTGGCGGACCCGAAGGTGGTGCAGTACGTGTGGGCGGCCATCGAGGTCGTCCGAAACCAGAAACAAATCGCTAACATGGACCGGATCTCCAAGTAAGTACAATCTCAGAAACACTGATAGTGACTGTTTGTGTCTTTACATGATGTGTGTGTACGTTGTCCTTTGACTGTTTGTGTCCTTACATGATGTGTGTGTACGTTGTCCTTTGACTGTTTGTGTCTTTACATGATGTGTGTGTACGTTGTCCTTTGACTGTTTGTGTCTTTACATGATGTGTGTGTACGTTGTCCTTTGACTGAAGTGCACACAAAAGTGTTAAAGGATAGTTTACCCCCAGGAAAATAGAAAAAACGCCAAAATCACACAAGTAGTTTTCAGCTTTCCCACAGTCTTTGAATGAGACACGTGTGACAAATGCTTCCTATAGGAACAGAGACAGAATCACAGCTTATAGTTCAGTGATTTAAATGTCTTAAAAATAAACGGTTTGCACTAACCAGGTCCTGTAAAAAACATTAAATTCTGCTCTCCTCAGCGCAACCTTAAAGCCACGATTGATTCGACTGAGACTAACAGCCACGTGACAGAAAATCTGTGAAACCTGGACTGAACACAGATTACGCAGGAAAGCACAAGATTACATCACAAAAACGTTTAATATTTCTAGGATGTAGAACCCCCTTTCCCCCCCTACCATTAGTAATACTTCTTAAATCTTAATGTGATTCATTTTAATTAATTAATTATTTATTAGCATATTGAACCCCATTTCCTCCCTTTATTTGCATTACTTTTAACACTTTAAAATGTTAGATATATATTTATATTTTATTCCAAATCTTACAAAACATATCAGACTCTAATTTAAGAGAAATTATTGATTTATTTGTATTATTATTATTATTATTATTATTATTATTAGTGTTTGGGTAAATGGAAAATCTTGAATATAAATACTTTACATTTTATTTGACTTTTTGTCAAATACATTCAAGAAAATATAATAATACAAATATTATAGAAATCTTATTTAATTTATACTTACTTTATTCCCCTTTTGTTCTTCGTTCTTCTAGCCATGATTGTACAATTTTTCCATTAGTGGTGCAGAACGTACAGCTTGGGGTTTCAGAGGGTTAAAGGGTTAACTCACTAACTCACTCACTAACTAACTCACTAACTCACTCACTCACTCACCAACTCACTAACCAACCAACTAACTAACTCACCAGCCAACCAACTAACTAACTAACTAACTAACTAACTAACTCACTCACTAACTAACCCACTCACTCACTAACTAAACATGCAGGTAGCTGTGAGTTGTATTTGTCCGTGCCAGTTCAGATGAGGTGAATGGGATTTTGTTTATAGTGCTCCCAGCACTGAAAGGGGACATTGTGCGCTTTCTGGAAACAACGTCCAGGTTATTCTGGGACCGCTCAGCATGAAGCGAGAGGAAATGCAGAGGTGTGGATCTACTAAGTACATACCCTTTTCAAGAAGTAGAGGTGAAAATGCAAGGGTTTTTTGTGAGGGATTTTGTCCTGAAGGTTCAGGGGATTAAATTCAACACGCTGATGACCTGAGGGGAGAAACACAAACATGCCTTTACTTGAAACCACTTTATGTACACGTAGGCGAGTATTATGAATATTTCCCCAGGCTTTTTCTGTTACTAGGCAGGGGGAATAGGTCTGAAGAGCTTAAAAGAAAATGCCTGTTCTTAGAAATTAGATATCACAGGGCTTGGTAACTAAATATATCCTAAAAATTAAAGAATAAATCACAATTTCCGAATTATAATAGCTTAATAACTAAATCTGCACTTTAGTATGAGGGCGCACGCCGAGAGTAAGAGGGCAAATCATAAATACTAAATAAAGAGCATTCTGGATGGAAAAACTCAACTATGGAAAACACCTGAATTGGGTTTTCAAACTGCTGTTTTTGTCCAATCAATACTCCCAAACCCACAGAAAACACATTTACGAACACAGAAAAGCGTTAAAAACTCAACATTTGAAAAGCAGAAACTACTCAATGTTTGGTGTCTTTCCTTTTGAGTAAATCACTACAGATTTGCTGATGAATTCTCAGTTGATTGACTAATCAATTAACGTGCTTGTATACACTCCATATCAGCGATCAATAGTGATTGACAGCTGCTGGATTTACTCGCTCACTGCCACTCTCACCATGAACCTTATATTTCTCTCTAAGTAGAAGCTCAGGTTAGGTTGAACAATTGTACTTTTTTAAAAATAATTTCTTCTGCCTTTTTTGGAGCTTTTTTGTTTGTTTTGCCATAGCCATATTATTTTGGTAAACTTGCCTTTCTTATATCCAATTTTGAACTCAAGAGTTTACAGGACCGTTAATAAAAATGTACATGTTGTGTACTATTTGGATTATTGTGATCAGAAATATTCTACAACTTTTAACAGAGTTGAAGTTAACCCTTAATATTTAAGTTAAAATGTGCTGTATGTCCAATCTAATCAACGGAGCATCCTCTAAAACTTCATAAACAACTCAAAACTAATCAAAATCAGCCCAATGTTAGTTAGAAAATGCCGAATTTCTCATTTAAATCTACTTATTTTGCATCCTTTAAATGTCATAAATGGATTTAACATGCCCAATAACCCCCGTAAAATCACGTTTTACATCTTAAACATCATATTTATGATTTTATCTGTGGAGTGAAATCCCACAATGCAGACAGACGACAGATCATTAGGCCGAACGAGACATTTAGCGCTTCTCGTAGCCAAAAACAGTACCCGACAACGAGTGGCTGTTGTCATGGCAACAGCAAGCAGCGACACACACACACACACACACACTTTCACACGCTATCTTTTTGTGGTAAAGAGCGAGGTGACTTTGAAATGGTGGAGAATTATGTTGTGATTATAAAATAAAAAGTGGATTTTTTTCTTTAAAATCTAACTATAAAGTCATGGTTGTAAATATAAAATAGGTAACTGTTAGTGTGTAGGAAATATTGATATGTTTAGCACTGCTGATTGTTATGAAGAAGTGGCCCTATTGATCAGAATAAAGTCAGTGAGGCAGCGTACACATAATTAACTCTCTCACATGATGGATATTTAATCATCGAGACACATTAGTCTGGCTTTTTTAAACCAGTCACTTAATCAATAACGAGGCTTTTTGATAATTAACAAAACCTGGTGTGTGTTCGACCAACTGTGAAATTCATTTACATTTTATAGTCCAAACTAGAAGGGCGTTTGTAGAGCGCACCAACATTTCTCCTAATGTTATCCCTACTGAAAAGAGGTGAACAAACGCATGTTATCTTAATAAAATACACAGAATGAAATGTCAGAAACTGTAGAAATAGAAATGATCATTGGATTACTACATTTCTCACGGACTCGTTCAAAGACTGTTGGACATTTTAAAATCTGATGAATTGGGACGACATTTGTAATCGTTTGACAGCCATTTAATCATGAATTTACTAACAAAACTAATATATAAAAATGTATGTTTTTAATAATTTTCTCTGTTTTATATTTTTATTTATAACAAAATATCTTGGGGTTTTGTAAGTCTGGGAAAGGAGCAATTTTGACATTTATTTTTTAACTACTTACTGTCTATAGACTGACATTTGATGTGTTCTGAGGTATTTAGTTACCAATCATGTGTAACAAATACCCAGATATACATTTGCAGTTGACGGTAGTAAGAGAGAGATATTGATACGTTATTGATAATGGTAAGAGGGAGATATTTAAAAGTTTGGAGCTCCTGTTAATTTGATTTTAAAATCGTACTGGTTTAAGTAATGGAGTCTGACTGGTGCTCACCTCACAGACTCACAATACGCCTGTTCTTTGTCAGTCAGGAGTAAACACACTCTCACCTGACGTATTCTGCTCATTGGCTGTCGGCCAGTCGAGGATACATGACCTCAGCTCAGAGCTTCACTGCCACTCAGACAGTGCAGTAATCAAGCTGCAGGACATTACAAGAGGAAACTGATGAGAAGTGAGGTTTTATTGTCAACATCAGAAGTCTTAAATCTGAGGGCCCAGGCTCCTCCAATAATGCAACATAGAAAATACTTAAGGAGGACATATTCTGCTGATGTTCAGGTGTATATCAGTATGTAGTGTCTCTACTTTAAAGAGTCCTCTCCTGCTGATGTTCAGGTGTATATCAGTATGTAGTGTCTCTACTTTAAAGAGTCCTCTCCTGCTGATGTTCAGGAGTATATCAGTATGTAGTGTCTCTACTTTAAAGAGTCCTCTCCTGCTGATGTTCAGGTGTATATCAGTATGTAGTGTCTCTACTTTAAAGAGTCCTCTCCTGCTGATGTTCAGGTGTATATCAGTATGTAGTGTCTCTACTTTAAAGAGTCCTCTCCTGCTGATGTTCAGGTGTATATCAGTATGTAGTGTCTCTACTTTGAAAGAGTCCTCTCCTGCTGATGTTCAGGTGTATATCAGTATTTAGTGTCTCTACTTTAAAGAGTCCTCTCCTGCTGATGTTCAGGTGTATATCAGTATGTAGTGTCTCTACTTTAAAGAGTCCTCTCCTGCTGATGTTCAGGTGTATATCAGTATGTAGTGCCTCTACTTTAAAGAGTCCTCTCCTGCTGATGTTCAGGTGTATATCAGTATGTAGTGTCTCTACTTTAAAGAGTCCTCTCCTGCTGATGTTCAGGTGTATATCAGTATTTAGTGTCTCTACTTTAAAGAGTCCTCTCCTGCTGATGTTCAGGTGTATATCAGTATTTAGTGTCTCTACTTTAAAGAGTCCTCTCCTGCTGATGTTCAGGTGTATATCAGTATGTAGTGTCTCTACTTTAAAGAGTCCTCTCCTGCTGATGTTCAGGTGTATATCAGTATGTAGTGTCTCTACTTTAAAGAGTCCTCTCCTGCTGATGTTCAGGTGTATATCAGTATGTAGTGTCTCTACTTTAAAGAGTCCTCTCCTGCTGATGTTCAGGTGTATATCAGTATGTAGTGTCTCTACTTCAAAGAGTCCTCTCCTGCTGATGTTCAGGTGTATATCAGTATGTAGTGTCTCTACTTTAAAGAGTCCTCTCCTGCTGATGTTCAGGTGTATATCAGTATGTAGTGTCTCTACTTCAAAGAGTCCTCTCCTGCTGATGTTCAGGTGTATATCAGTATGTAGTGTCTCTACTTCAAAGAGTCCTCTCCTGCTGATGTTCAGGTGTATATCAGTATGTAGTGTCTCTACTTCAAAGAGTCCTCTCCTGCTGATAAAAGTAAAAGACAGTAGACCAAATGGTTTAATATTGTGCCGCCCTGGTTTCAAAGATGTAAAGCATATTTTTTAACCATTAAAATAATTTATTAACCGTTTGCACATAACTAAAATACTCCTCCTCACCTGCCGTCCAGGTACCTGAGCCGGATGTTCGGGATGCACCCGAAGGAGACGGCGCGGCAGCTGAGCCTGGCGGTGAAGGACGGGCTGGTGGTGGAGACGCTGACCGTCGGATACAAAGGATCGAAGGCCGGCATCGAGCAGGAGGGATACTGGCTGCCCGGGGACGAGATGGTGAGCTCAACTATGGAAAACACCTTCATTGTGTTTCAAACTGCTGGTTTTATACAACCAACATTCCCAAACCCACAAAAAATACATTTAGGAATACACTGAAAAGCATTAAAAACTCAACATTTAAGAAGTACTACACAACATTTGGTGTTTTTCAGTTTGTGTGTACAGAGAGATGGAAATACTGTTCCCACAATCCCGAATACAAAAATACAAATATATATATACACACAATCAACAGACACATTTATACATCAATAAAAGCACAACAATACAAAGTAACCGTCACTTAAGCAGACTGAACTGGGAATCATTTCTCTAGATTATGTGTTACTGATCCCCGAAAAGTGACAAGATTCACAATTTGTATGTCTGGTATTTACTTGGTGTGTGTCTGTGTTCACACTGTGGGCAACACTTTATGAGAAATCCCTAGAAATCCATTGTTTCCTGCTGAATATGAACAACTGTTAGCTTACACTGGCCTTCTTAATTGTTTTCCAATCGATGGGATTTAGTTTTAAGATGAAGTAGAAGCTGTCAAAACCAGAAATATCATTCCAGAAATATAATTCTAGCCAATCAAAGCTCAACTGTTAAAATAGACGGTAACGGTTGAGGCTCATCTGCTTAGTATCGTCTTGAATTATATAATAAAATGCCTCTAACAGTATCCTAAACTCGCATGTGATGAGATTCATTTAAACCAGAAAGGTCCTAAAAACTACAGTCATTTAATATGAGAAGATCAAGAAACTTCTGATATCCCACCGGAGAAAGTTAGACATGGTTGCTTTCAAAATTACATGTTGGACTAATTGGTTAATGGACTAATTGTAGACGGCTCCTTAATGATTGCAATTATACTAAAAGTATATAAAAGTATTGTAGAATAGCTGCTTATGTCACTAAATCAATTGGATGTCAGTTGTTATTAATAGCTTAAGTGTGTCATTGGTTCACCTCCAAAATACTGCTTCCCTTTATTCATGTCTTTATAAACTGAGATGCATGATGAAAAGAAAGCGATATTAATGTATGAAAAAGCCCTAATGTCCTGATAATAAACAGACTGTCTCTCTCTCTGCTAATAAAGAGTAACTAGTCCTTTTAGTTAACACAGTTTCAGTCATTTGCATCAGGTTCCATATTTGAGTCGAGCTCACAGATTCTGTCACGAAGCCGTCCATCTGTCGAGTTGCTCGCAGTGTGAACACAGTGTTAAACACACGCACACACACACACACACACATACACACACACACACACACACACACACACACACACACCAATATATGTCTGTTGTGCAGAGATCAAGAATGATTAAGATGAGGACTCTTTAGTTTCCTGCGTGTGTGCTCGAGCATCCCTCCTCTGTGCAGAGATGTGATATTAACTTTTTTTTATTCTTCTCATGTGAAGTCCCTGCTTTAATTCCGTCTTATTTCCCCTGTTAGTTCACAGCGTAGAGATGCTCTTATGTGTCACATTGGTTTCACAGCAGCACTACCTGGGGAGAATCCACCATGTGTTATGCAAAGAGCACTTAATGGATTACTGTGGCTTTAACGTTGTGTATCTGGTGGATGCTTTAATCCCAGTGCTTTTTGCAAGAGGATGCTCGCAGTATCTGTCATGCTTTAAAACTACAATCATCCATGTGCAGGAAAGTCAGAAACAGCTGTTGTGATTTGAGTTATATGAAACTAGGATTATTGTATTTGTTTTCAAATTGAGTAGTTACCAAGAAAATACCAATCCAGCATCCAAGGTGTTTGGATTACAAGCCAGAAAAGGAGTAATGGGACAAAATATGCAAGATTTAGGAATGAAATACCAGTAATGTTCTTGTCTCACCACGAAATATTTAAACAAGCGCATCATCTGTGATTCAAAGGAAAGACATATCATGTAGGAAATAACTGAAAGAGACTTATTCTCAATATGATAATGTGATAAATGCTTATACACAAATACGAAATACCAGTTTTATTGACATTTTCTAGATGAAACCTTTGCATCCAAGGTGTCAGGATTACACGATGATTGGGGAATGTAATGCCTGTAGTGTCAACAGAAGTGATTGATATGATAGAAAAGCACAACACAACATGACTCCAATGTCCAGCGGAGATCAAGGTGTTTTGTTTTAGCAGCCAGACTTATAAACACTACTCTCTGAATCACTTGCAATCACAGGAGCCGGAAGCAGAGGGAAACAAGGTAAGGGCTGAATATTTATTATCAAACAAATTCAGGGTTTATTCCCTCCTTCTCTTCCCCCCCCCCCAACTAACATCATTCTGTGAGAAATCGCCACATTGCAGCCAGGCTGGGATTTGAGTGAATCTTTTCCGGGCAGGTTGCAAAATAATTGAGACGGCAGTTTGTTCTGGTTAGTGCTGAAGGTGGAGGCTGTGTTAAAATATAATTATAAAGTATTCTTGCACTGTTTGTGAGTTGCACCTTTAAACCAAATTATAACACAAGCTGAATTGCCGACAGTCTATAGAGTGGTGCAGGAATGAGTCTTTCAACCAGGAAATGAGTCAGCATTTTACCACTTCGGGGCCCCGTGTCTCAACAGTTTTTAGATCATGATTTTTGTTAGAAAATAAGGTCTGTGGTTAACACAAGCTGAAGAGATTTGTATTCTACAACATAAAATACATCACTAAATACCCAACTGGTGAATTTAGAAAACGGTGGTTGCTAACAAGTGTCTAAATGAGACTACTAAAACGTCATCACACCCAACATTAGCCACCTTTAGCTTAGCGGTGGTGACGTGAAGTCATGTGACCGTGCTGTAGTTCCTTTATAGCCCAACATTAGCCACCTTTAGCTTAGCGGTGGTGACGTGAAGTCATGTGACCGTGCTGTAGTTCCTTTATAGCCCAACATTAGCCACCTTTAGCTTAGCGGTGGTGACGTGAAGTCATGTGACCGTGCTGTAGTTCCTTTATAGCCCAACATTAGCCTCCTTTAGCTTAGCGGTGGTGATGTGAAGTCATGTGACCGTGCTGTAGTTCCTTTATAGCCCAACATTAGCCACCTTTAGCTTAGCGGTGGTGACGTGAAGTCATGTGACCGTGCTGTAGTTCCTTTATAGCCCAACATTAGCCACCTTTAGCTTAGCGGTGGTGACGTGAAGTCATGTGACCGTGCTGTAGTTCCTTTATAGCCCAACATTAGCCATCTTTAGCTTAGCGGTGGTGAAGTCATGTGACCGTGCTGTAGTTCCTTTATAGCCCAACATTATCTTTTTAGTCCTGGAGATTGCATTTACGCTTCAAATTCAGAACATTTATGTGAACATGGGAAGATGATCCTGCTGAACAAAACTTGTAAGTATCATAAACATGCGTCAGCCAAAGATCCAATGAAAAAATCCCCTTGGCTTTATGCTAAGGAGCCCTTGCAATGCTAACTTCCTGGTTGACTCACTGCACCATTTTATTATATTAAACACACTGCCAGAAGCTACCTGCTCTCCTTTTTTAATTCTGCTGTGAAAAGCTTCATGAAAGTCCAATGCAGCGCTGTGGCCACATTTCTTGTGGAAGTGCTCTGTGATCTTGATGAAATGTGTGCTCGCTACTTATCTATAGATGTGCTTTTCCTTGATTTTTAAAAACAGAAACACTCACTAGGTGCAGCTTAAAGCTTTACATAGTCCTTGGCATTCAAACGGTGCCGACCAGAGTCAAATATCAAGTGTAAATTCACCTTGAACACCAAATTGTTAATGAGATAACAAGCAATGTAAGCATAGCTGCAGGTTGGTAGCAAGCATCTGTGTGGTAGTGTTTCTCCTCAGAGGGGGGGGTGTTAACCGTGATCTTAACTTCTGTCTTGCATGCGTGTTCCTTTAATTTCTTTATTTTCAATCGATGCAACAGGAGTCGGGGGAAGGATGTGTGTTTGTGTGGTGGTGATGTTTAGTTTTTTTCCATGCCTGCTGCTAGAACTGAATCCGACAGCGATGGGTTTAGTTAGCGGTCACTTAGTGGACAGAGTTTAAATATAAGAAGTTAAACAGCTGCTACATGGAGACAGCTGCCTGGAGAAAACCCAGCTGGCATGCACTGTGTCCTCATGATGACCTTTTAGGAATCATTTTTATCCTCAAGCAGATAACAACGGCGCTTAAACACCAATCATGACACTTAAAAATAGCTCAGTCTTGAAAAAACTCATGTTTAATGCTCTCTTGCTTCAATTCAGATTGGATTAAACCAGGTTTTCCCTAAATAAACTCACTTTTTAACCTACTTTTTGCATATTTAAAGAAGGAATGTTATATTTTCAGGGGTTAAACTAACTTGAATGAGCCAAAATGCACATTATTTCATTTAATTTCCTTGTACCAATGCAGTTCTCATCTTAACACCCTGTTTTGTACTTCTCTGAGTGCTCTACAAGCTTCTAAACAATGATTGTTCAAGATGCACAGTGTAATACAGTCATAATCCAATTAAAAAGAACATTGCACAGTTGAGTAATTGCACAGGTTATATAGCTTAAGTATTGTTGTTATTGCAAAGTTTGATAGGGTTTGAGTTGCTGTCATTTTAAAGCAATGCAGTTTACCTCTCAAAGAAACAGGAGATGAATCTCTGGGATGTTTTTGTGAAAGGTATTTAGAAATCCTGCTATCCTGCAGCTGAACTTTTCTGGCGAGTCCCAGCATGACATGGAAAGTTCAGATTTATTAACCAGAGCAGGAAGTCCAAGCCGCTTTTTAGCCCCATTTCTCCCGCCAAAAAGCACAGAGGTATTTCACAGATGTTTGGAGAAGAGATTTGAACCCAAAGGCAGAGTTTTTGGCTGCCTGATTTTACTGGTTTGGGCTTTGGTTCAACCCGATTTGACCAGAATATCTTACATTTTGCAGCCTCTTAGCAGACATTCCTACAGTGTATCTGCTATTGTTTTAAATAGGGCTGCACAATTAGCTGAAATGTATGAACTAGTGCAATATTATCATCATTTGTCGGCTGCAGAGATATCCCCGCCAATCATATCCTTGACACTTAACGACACTGACATTTATTTGGTACACATCGTCAAAATTGCACCATTTTAATATATTCCTCCAATGATAATGACAACAATGATGCAGAAATGATCAATCCATCCCATATCGTAACTGAAAATTGGTCAAAATAATTGCAAATAGTTATTTTTTCCAAATCATGCACCCCTAATTTGAACCCAAAGGCTAATTTTCTGCCTTTTCCATCAGATTTCTTCACATGGTGCTTTGGTTGAACCCATCTTTCACAGATTTTCTTGCATTTACACCCTTTTGGAAGACATTCATATGGTTTTTTTTATTGTTTCAAACATCTGTAATATCTGTTTTGGCTTGGGTCCCAATTCTCTCCACTTCCTATGTGCTTGGCTCAGAGAGCTGCAGCCTTTTTAAAGTCAGACACTCGTCGCTCATCAGACAGACCGACTATAGTGAAGTGACTCTTGACATTGGACAGAACACGAGCTCCATTTTCTATTTTGTCAAGTGTTTGTGTGGGTGAAGAGGCTGTTACGCTCCAAAAAGTAGACGTACCTTTTCAGGAATCTGTGGATGGATCTGCACAGTTAAGTCACCCCCTTTAAAGTTCAGCGGTTTTACTTTACATGGAGTGGGATTAATCTGACCATGATGACGAGAATTTTAGTAATTTGTTAAGTGTTTGATTGGCCAGAAAGTCACAAATTCCCAAAGCTGCTGGTTGCATCTGAACGTGGCACGGGATATATATATTTACAATGATTTAGAAAAGCAGAACAGAAGATACTTCTTAGCAGCTCGAAACAGAAAATATTTGGCCTTTTGTTTCGCCCCCACTTTCATGGTATGCTCCACCAAAACCACCACCGTTTATTAACTCTGCCTTTTATGAAATACTATATTACTCTTAAGTTCACTTCCACATTCACATCAAGGGGCAGAAGAAAGAAAAATACAAAAACAAGGAGTGCTAAGAAGTTTACAATCCTCAGTTCATCTCGGAGACTTTTCACCTTTTAATTTAACCTGGTACTTCAAACACGATCTTAAAAATGCAGACGAATTAAGAACAATTTAATCAAACTCATCCAGATCATTTCTCGAGTGAAGCTGTTAAATATAGAGCTTTTGGACGAACCTGAAAACCCCGCCGACACCCAGAGTCCAATCCTCCTAAAACCTGTTCACCTCAGATGTAGTTTCCCTTAAAGATGGAGGACTTTAAGGTCTTGTCCTCTCCTCTGCTGTGTCTGGAGGGTCTTTTTGAACTTATCTCCTTTAATTTAACCTGGTACTTCAAACACAATCTTATTTATCAGAGGAAATCTGTTTTTTTTGGTCAAAACAAATTAAAAAATGCAGACAAATTGTAAGAACAATTTCAAACGAATGCATCCATATATATCCTTTATTTAACCAGGTAAAAGCCTCATTGAGATTAAGGTCTCTCTTCTTTTAAGAGCGACCTGGCCAAGAGGGCAGCATGAACAAAGTTACAACAAATTAATACAATACAGCTGAATGAAACGGCACATTAACCAGTCAATAGGCAAATAAAATAAACTGTTATGAAACATTTAAAACAGGCACCATTTTAAAACGACTTGAATTAGGGGATATAAGCGCAATCGCATCGACCAATGGTTTCTTGTTCTCTGTCCTTTAAGATGGACTTGATCAAATCTGAGAGTTTCAGCTCCTTCTGTACCTTATTCCAAGCAGAAGGGGCAGCATATCTAAAAGCTTTGTTACCTAGTTCTGTTCTCACTTTAGTTTTAAATATTGGGAGCGCAGGCCATATAGACTTTGTTTCCAGATGAGTTCAGAGGTGTGGGATCCAACATCAAACCCCCCGACACCCTGAGTACAATCCTCACAAATCTAGTTTCTGTTAAAAATCTAGTTTCTTTAAGGTCTTGTCCTCCCTCCCCCCCCCTGCTGTGTCTGAGGGTCGGAGGGGGGGGGAAGGGGTCACCAGATGTTTCTCTGCTGTGTCTCCTCAGCAGGAATGGGAGGCAGAGAGTCACGACTGGTACTGCTTCGAGTGCCACCTCCCGGGAGACGTGCTCGAGTGTGACAACTGCTTCAGAGTCTACCATCTCAAGTGTCTACCGGACGAGTTCAAGCCCAAAGACGGAGGCTCGCACTGGCAGTGTGGCGCCTGCAGGGTGGGTACTCACAAGATATAATAGATGTTTCATAATATCTGTGGGAAAATCCAAGTTGAGTTTTACGTTACCGTTTCTTTCCTTGGGAAGTCACACTGTCCTTTTCGATTATATTGTAAAGGTAGGTTGCACCTTGTCGAGAGTTACTGATTTTAAAGACAGTAAGTCCCTAAAATGATTTTTCTTTCATCAAATGAGTTCACATGATGTGTCAAAAGGCTCTTCCTGATGACAAGTCCATGTCCCACCAACCTTTAAAGACCTTTTTAGCCTCTTTAAGCTCATTGTTTTGGTTTTAGGGCACATTAATGTCGCATTCCCACTGCAGGGCCTCGCACGGCTTAGTACGGTATAGTTAGGCCTTGGTAGGCCAGGCTCACTTTATGCTGCGTTTCCATTACAGTTTAGGAACTGGGGTAGTATCTATAGTAACGCAGTGTAGGCGGAGCCGTGACGTCATCTTCAATGAGAACCCCAGAAAAACAACACAGCCGTTAGCTGTTAGCACTCAGAGCTCACAGCTCCTCATATATGTTCAGAAACTAGACAAAAGTTAAACAAGTACAAACCACAGACTGCCTGTGTCATGGTGAATACAGTCGCTGGTTTATTTATGTCTGTCGGCCGTTGTTGTGAGTGTGGACGGTCGGAGCATATACAACGTTAGCTTAGCCAAACTCCATTCAGAAAACACGCATTTTAAAAGGTTTTTCGCCTGCCGTCTGTCTGCAGACTTGTCAAAGCATTAATTCATGGTTTTTACTAACCGGTATCAGTATGTTGTTACTTCGGCATCATTTTGAAACGTGTATTACAATTAAATCACGGTCAAATATGTTCATCTTGTTGTAGTTGTAGCCCCCTTGCCAGCGATTCTCTCTCTAGTTTAGCATACTCAGCCCGGTTGTTGGCCCGGAAAGAACCTGGATTTTGGAGAGCCAGAGAACTGTGAAACAGTACCCGTTAGCCGGAACTACCCCCTAGTGGAAACACAACCAAAAACGGGCCGGGTTTGGCACGGCACGCTTAAACCGTGCTACGCGATGCAGTGGAAATGCACCATAACACCCGTCTCAACACTCAACGTTAAAGATAGTCAGGATAGGACACTAAAAGATATCCTTAAAGTAAATAAGACTAAAGGCCGGTAAGTGGTATTTCACATCACAACAGCAAAGCTATACGTGTTCACAGTAAAACCAAGTATGGTACAAGAAGTTTTGAGTGCCTAATGAGGTTTATTTCAAGAAAGGAAAGACTTGATTACGTCGGAGGAATGAGGATTAATGAGTGTCAGATTTAGGCATCATTTAAAACGTGATATTCATAGCGTGTCCACATTCTGCTCTTAGTCATACCAAGTTGTTTTGGATATAAATTGTGATTCCAAAAGTCAGAAGCTAACTTTGTTATCTTTCTCTGCTGCCACGGCAATAATGCTTTGTTTTTTTACCGTTAGACATTGGATAATTATTTACATATAAGCATTACAAAGTCTGCTTTCTGCTTCAAAATCTTGCAGAATGTTCTACATTTCTCTCCGTTCTCTCACACCCATGCAGAGTTTTGTACTTAAAACATTTAGGAAAACTTGCATTTACTTCAAACACAGGCTACATGTAATAGTGGTGTCAATATATCTGGTCTAAACTAATCACTATAAGTGTAATGCTATCAGATATTCCTAATACAGAAAGGCAACAACAAGCTATAATTCAGTATTTCAAATCTGCTTTTTATGTAACTGTATTTCCTTTCTTGTTCCTCTTAACTTCCTGTCTCTTTTTGCACATTACATATGTCCGTTATATATATGATACTTAACCCGGGATGCATCAAATGGAAAATGTTTTTTGTAGTTTACAGAGATGACTGCTTTTCCAACATCTGACTGCGGCTGCATTTCTGAAAAGAAAACATGTTAGACTGCATGTCGCTCTCTGAATTGGGGCATCCCTATTTTTAAGTGTCTGTGTTTTAGTTCTTGTGTTGAATCTCACCTTTCTGACCCCTCTTGTCGTCCTGCAGGGCAGTAAAAAGAAGAACCTGAACAAACAGGAGATGAGTAAATACCTGCGCTTCATCGTCCAGCGCATGAAGGAGAGGGTGAGAACAATATATTTATTTATGCCTCTATCATCAAACCTCCCTGTGCAAACCCAGCAGATCTACGGCTCTGATTCAAACGTTATTTAAGAAGATTTAGGGATCTTTTCTGCGAGGTTAACATTTATTTTGCTGTGTTTGATTTTACTCAAAAGTATCTTCTTGGACATAATGACCAAGAACAAGCTGATTTTAATGCTGCAGGGGGATTAATGAAACTACATTTCCCCGTTGCATAAAAGCCAGAGATTCCCTGCAGTGATAACACATTGCTTTATTAAGTACACCAGCCGTTTGTTTACATAGTGTAATTACAGCTGTTTGAAGCTAAACTAAAAGAGGCTAAAATAACAAAAATATGAATTAAAAAAAATGTAGTTTTTCTTTAAAACATATTTTTTTTAAACTAATCATTTATTTATTTCCTAATTTTTTCCTTCACTTCTTTAAATAATAAATACTTTTTTTTCAATTTGATTCTGTTTCAACTTCCTTTTTACAAGCAGTAATCCTCATTTCTATCATGTTAGTTCAACCTTTTATTAATTTAAATAATGAATATTTTTTTTGGGGTTATTTCATTCCATTTCAATTTGATTTTGAAAGCAGAAAACATTTTCTTCTGGTTAATTTGACTTGAATCAAATCAAAGTTTATTTATAAAGCACATTTTAAAAGCGATTTTTGGTCGGTCCAAAGTGCTGTACATGTAATAAATACTACAATCACAATAAAAGACAATAAATTACAACAGATATATAAAAAAAACACAGGGAAAAGTCAGGAGTCGTGCTCCGCTCTGACTAAAAGGCCAGGGAGAAGAAGTGAGTTTTTAGTGTAGATTTAAAAACCCCTAGGGTCTGGGCCGACCTCACATGGAGGGGCAGAGTGTTCCAGAGCCTAGGGCCAGCTGCTGCGAAGGCTCGGTGCCCTCGGGTTTTGAGCCTGGTCTTGGGCACTACCAGCAGCAGCTGGTCAGCAGACCTTAAAGCTCTGGCTGGGGTGTAGCGCTGGAGGAGTTCAGCTATATAGGCCGGAGCCAGCCCATTTAGTGCTTTAAAAACAAATAAAAGGATTTTAAAATCAATTCTGAACCGAATTGGAAGCCAGTGCAGTGAGGCCAGAATTGGGGTGATGTGGTCACGCTTTTTGTGACCAGTCAGCAAACGTGCAGCTGCGTTCTGCACTAGCTGCAGGCGTTTAATTGACGCCTGGTCCATACCCACGTACAGAGCGTTGCAGTAGTCCAACCTCGAGGTAACAAAGGCGTTAATAACCCTTTCTAAGTCTTTAAAAGATAAAAACGACTTGGTCTTGGCCAATAGTCGTAAAGACTTAAAGGGGACCTATCATGCAAAATGCACTTTCTTATGTCTTTTATACATAAATATGTGTCCCCGGTGTGTCAGGGAACTCAAGCAGCGTCAGAAAATAAAACCCTCTCTTTTCCTCCGTACCCAAATCTCTAAAAACGGGGGAACAACAGAGCTGATACAGATTTGCGTCCGATATGACGTAATATCTGAAATGTGGACCCACGGCCCTATCAGAAACGTTGGTATCAGAAACAATGGCCGACTGTTTAGGACGTAATATGGTCGGTGTTTACATTAGCATCGCTAACACTCAGAGCTAACCTGTACTGGAGAGCATGTGTGTGAAGAAGCAGGAAATAAAAAGGAACTCACCTTGTGGTATAACCGGCAAGAGAGAAAGCCTTTGAGCTCCATACTGTTTCAGAAATAATCCTTGATAATCCATGATATGGCGTTTCATCACGGCAGAATTTAGTTTAGACAGTAGCTGCCGTGTCCCGCATGAGCTCAGCCCCCTCCTTTTTTTTTATCCAATTTTTTTTTTTTTTAAAGCTTTATACTTCAAATCAGCACTTTTGAAACAGGAAGTGAAATAGAGGGATATGAGGCATGGCTAGAATGGGTGATCTGTTTGGTATTTTGAACAAAACACTTCAGAGACATGTTTTTTTAATATATTTTTATATATCTGAGACCTGTGCTATTGCCTAAAAATAGCATGATAGGTGACCTTTAAAGTCCCTATTCTTTACTCTGTTTTTGCTGTGTTCTCTAAAATAAGTAACTAGTAAAGTACCCACAAAAAGCCCTTGCCCCACCCTCAATTAAAATAAATATTCCCCTTTTATTCTCCTCTCTTTACCCCGCCCTTCACACTCCTCTCAATTAAAGTTGTGTTAAATCTCCCTACATCACAACGCTGCCTATAAAAAAAAAAGCTATAAAATCTCTCATCAGTTATCCTCCATGTGTCCCTGCTTCATTACTCTTCCTCTTCCTCCTCTTCCTCTCTATAAAGTTGGTATTAAATCATTACTCCTCCTCTTCGTCTGCAGGCGGTCGACCTAGCCAAGAAAGGCAAAGACACGAAACACCCCATGTACAAACGTTTGATCCACACTGCGCTGGAGGTCTCCAACATACACGAGGTAACACCACTCCCAGTAGTGTGTGTGTGTGTGTGTGTGTGTGTGTGTGTGTGTGTGTGTGTGTGTGTGTGTGTGTGTGTGTGTGTGTGTGTGTGTGTGTGTGTGTGTGGTGTGTGTGTGTGTGTGTGTGTGTGTGTGTGTGTGTGTTGTGTGTGTGGTGTGTGTGTGTGTGTGGTGTGTGTGTGTGTGTGTGTGTGTGTGTGTGTGTGTGTGTGTGTGTGTGTGTGTGTGTGTGTGTGTGTGTGTGTGTGTGTGTGTGTGTGTGTGTGTTGTGTGTGTGTGTGTGTGTGTGTGTGTGTGTGTGTGTGTGTGTGTGTGTGGTGTGTGTGTGTGTGTGTGTGTGTGTGTGTGTGTGTGTGTGTGTGTGTGTGTGTGTGTGTGTGTGTGTGTGTGTGTGTGTGTGTCCTTTGTACTCGTTCTCTCTGACTGAGCAACTTTTTCTCTCTTTCCATTTTTTTGTATTTAAATTCAAATAAACTTTATTGACAAAACACAGTATTGCCAAAGCACACAATACAAGGTGGTACACCATCAAAAATATTGAACAACCATGTTAACAATGATATCAGTTAGAGACACTTTTTGTGTTTTGTGAAAAGGCCAAATATTGACACCTAGTTGTGACTTCTGTAGTCAAGGGACGATAAAAGACTACAATTCCCACAGTGCCATTCTATCAACAGACACAGCCATGTATGGAAGAGGCTTAAAATATATTCCATAAAGAAAGAAAGATAATCTAAGTTTGTTTATCATTTGATTTGGGTTTTTTGCCTCTTCTGATTTGTGTGTGAAAAGAATAGTGAGAAACTATTAAATTGAAAGATAATGTGTTAGAAATGTCTGGTTTAAAAGTTGTCTAAGTGGCTTGAATTAAATGAAGGAGGGAAGCTGTGACATTAAATCAAACTGTGTCTCTTTCTGTTTCCCAGAATCTGTCTGAAGGAAAGTATAAAAGTTTCGATGAGTTCAAAGCCGACGCTCAGCTGATCGTCCACAACACGGCCATCCTGTACGGAGGTGGGTCCATCATTCATTACGTTCTAGTTACAGATTTAGTTTTTCTATTATTCTTTTTTATATTAACCTCTCACCAGAAAAGCCACATTTTAACTTTTATTTCATGTGACACATTTACTATTCAGCTTTAGACGTTCTCCACTAACATAAATCTGACCCAACATGTTGAAATCAAGATGAACCACAAAGCATTCAGAAATATAGCAAACACTGCAGAATTGTCCATATTTTTTTTATGTAAAACAATTTAAATGTATAATACTCCACTTTGACTTTCTCACTAAGTGCTGTTTTTGTTTGTGTTTTAGTTAACAGCGACCAGGCGGAAATCGCTCGGCTGCTTTTCAGCGACACATGCCACGAGGTAACACTGTTTACTTTTCCTTACATTTAACAGCAGTTTTAGTTTAAGAGCTTATTAGCACCGTGTCTCCTTGCTAATTAGTTCCTGCATTAAACTCTCTCTCTCCCCATCTCTCCTCCTCCAGCTGAACGAGTTGTTGTTGTGTAAAACCTGTTTCTACCTGTCCAACGCGCGGCCAGACAACTGGTTCTGTTACCCCTGTGTGAGTACAACAACAACAACAACAACAAACATACACAACTACAGCTTCTCTGGACCAAATGGCTCTTAAAAAACACACACACAGTTTGATTGTGTTCTGTTACTGATCACTGGTAGCAGGTGTAAGATGCAGTTATATTATTGGTTTTCTACAAAGCCCAGTGTCACTGTTCGAACAAAACTCAGAAACCGACTTTTTGACACAAATGTTTGGACAATTTTGAGCCAGAAAGGATTAAACAAACGAATCGACAAAATGCTTTAATAATCCAAAACATTCAACATCACTCCCACTGACTGCGTTACCCTTGTAACACAAGTAATTTAAAGGTCCCATGTCATGCTTTTCCGGTTATTACCCGTCCCCTTGTGTGTTATGAAGCTTTTTCTGCATGTAAACGGTCACAAACCCTCAAAGTACACCCCTGTACACCCTCGGAGCTCAGGGTGTGAGTGTGTGTGTGTGCTCAGGCTGAGTTTCGCGGTGTCTCGGTGTCTCGCAGACCCCACGCAGCAACCAGGAAACGACACCAGTAATCCAGCTCACACTGTCCGCTCCTCACAGCAGCGAGCCCCGTAACGTCCCGCCAACACGGCACCCAGACCCCACGCAGCATTCTCATCTGTTTGTCATTTCCTGGTTGCTAACAAACGCCATTGTAAAACATAATCACTGATGTTCCGCTGTAACGGTGGTTGACTCATCAGAACAGAGTGGGCGATTTGACCAATCAGAGCACAGTGGGCTCACAGGGAGGGGGGGGGCAGGAGCTCCAACAAGCCGTTTAGGACAGAGAGTGAATACACATACTATACAGAGATGCTGTATGAGAAACCAATGTGATTTTGGAACATTGAACAATGTAAATCTATTCTAGTAGACCTCAACAATGGAATTATGATCAGTAGAAATGGCCATGACATGGGACCTTTAATGGTTTTAGCAAAAAAAACAGGGATTTTGACCCAAAAAATTTGATTTTATCAATAATTTAGGGATTTTTATCAACAAATTGAGAGATTTTGACCAAAAACTGAGACATTTTAACAACAAATTCAGGGATTAAAAAAAGAAAGAAAACAGAGTGATTTAAAAAAAAAAACTTAAAAATATCTTGCATACAAAATATGATGAACTGAGCCATGTTAAATGTCATGTTGGCATAAAATTCAACCCACGACTTTGTTTACTTTGAGTTTTTCTTGTTAGACCAACAATGCTGGGTTTTAACCTTTGCTGTATTCTGTTTCTTTGTGTGTTTCTTCTGCAGAGTCCTAACCATGACCTGGTTTGGGCCAAAATGAAGGGTTTTGGATACTGGCCGGCCAAAGTCCTCCAGAGAGAGGAGAACCAGGTGGACGTTCGCTTCTTCGGACACCAGCACCAGAGGTTAGCACATCAGGAACACCTTTCTGTTCATTTCATTTGAGAGCATATCACCACCATTTGTATCTGGATACATTGTCCTATATTATACTATATATATAGGACTTGTTTGACTTGACTCGGGTTTGTTTTAAAAACATCTCAGATCAGATGCAATTCCTCCCAAAACAAACCCGAAAAACTCATAAAATGTTCCGAAACAAATAAACTAGTTTCAGTGCTTGTTGATAAATCCCGTCCACTTTATTTGATCTCCTCCTCCTCAGAACGTGGATCCCGTCGGACAACATTACAATTAAATTAAGCATTCTGATTCTAGCCCTGATATATCGTCCTTCAAAAACAATTAACACATTTCTTTGTTGATGCTATTTAACTTTAAGCTGCTTAAACCAGTTGTAAAAACATCCCAAATCACATACTTTCTTCCCGATACGATACGATACGATGCGATACGATATACTTTATTGTCCCCGTAAGGAAATTTGTTCTGGACTCCGTCCTGCAGTTCCGCATACATGTACATATACAAACATAGTAGACATTAAGAGACATACACATATCATCAGTCATACACCGTTTGAACAAACACAATACACAGATGCACATACAGACAATGGCGACCTATTGCACAACCCTCATGGCCAACATTTAAAAAGTACATTTCATTACATTTGACTACATTTCATTTCATGTGAGTGTTAAGAAGCTTAATGGACATAGGTAGGAATGAGTGCTTATAGCGGTTCAGCCTGACAAAACAAACCCAAACACTTTTCAAATGGACTGACATTTTTCAAACATTTGCTGGTAGGTTTTGTAAATCTTTAAAACGTTATTTCCCCGTCCTCCTCAGAGCGTGGATCCCGTCGGACAACATCCAGGACATCAAGGTGAAAGTCCAGCAGCTGCAGGTGAAGCGCAGCAGCGGCTGGAAGAAAGCCTGCGAAGAGCTGGAGGTTTACCAGGTTGGCCTTTTATTCTCTTAACCTTTTTTATATTACCATATTTTATTTCATTTTTATTTGTTGCGTTCATGGTATGCACAACTTCATGTATAACAATTATTTACAAAACATGTCTCTATAAACACACCGTTGACCAAAAAAGAACAGGGATAATAATCTCAATAGAGCGGTGCAGTGACGCGTCAGCATTTCACCACTTCCTGTTCCCTCGTCTCAGAGCCAATGGGATCTTTCCATAGGGTTTAGGAAAATAGCTGGAAATAAGGTCTGTGGTTGAGACACATTGAAGAAGCGGATCACGTTTTGTTCTACGACATTAAATACATCAGCAGTGACCCCACTGGTGATTTCTGAAGAGTTGACGTGTCTGAGAAACGATGGTTGTTACCAAGTGGCTGAATAGGACTACAGAAGTCCCGGAGGCCGCTGTACGTCATTACGCCGAACACGTAAACACTCCTCTAAGTTTGTTTGCCCTGTTCTGCTTGAAAGCAAGTACCTGCCTCCTGCAGACTGTTCAAACAAACGCTTCAACTCGTACCATTTAGAATCTGTATGTTTGAATATGGATCTTAAGTTGGCGTGACGTGGAAGTCGTGCTGCTGGACTCGGCTGTAGTTCCTTTATAGCATAACGTTAGCATTTTGCTTCTGGACATTAGATTTATGATTCGAACATTATAAAAGTAGGGTAGACATGTGGAGATTATCCGGCTGAACAAAACGTGCATTTATCAAACAGCTTCGTTTTCCACAGACCTTATTTCCAGCTATTTTCCAAAATCCTATGGAGAAATCCCATTGATTTCTGTCGAGGGAACCAGCAGCTTACTTCAGGGTGAATACGTCATCCCTGCTCCGCTCTATTGCCTGTGGCTTTCTCAAAGAAAATAAATAAATAGAAATAGATGGTCTGTCCTTCGTATTTTCTTATTCACAGCCAATCATAACAGCATCGTAGGAAAATAAGAGAAACACAAAAACTTCCAAAAAAAGACTTAGTTCCCACTTGACAGTTAACATCACATGAACAAGGAAATGATATTATTCAATATGCTCCTTAGATAACTTTCTATTTGATTGTATTTTCTCCTCATAGCAACTTTTTTAGATGACGTTGTTTTTAAAGTGTGCTATATAAATGAAATGTATTATTATTATTATTATTATTATTACCAGCGCTTCGTGAGGGAGGGACGCTTCTGGAAAACAAAGATGGAGGAAACCAACATGGCAACAGAACAACAGCAGCAACAGCAACAACTACAACTACTACAACAACAACAACAAGAACAACAACAGCAGCAGCAGAACCAGAAGCAGGAAAGTGGAGGAAAGACGGATCGTTTGGAGCGAACTGATGAAGCCGAGTCCAGCATTTCGTCCACCAGCAACGAACAGGTGCGACATGTACGTATATATTTATATGTATATATCATTACGTTATACAGTTCTTATTCAAGTCATTCATTTATGTTTTTTATTTATTTGTATTTTAAGAAATTATTCACAAAGCATACATAACAAAATAAACACATCTAGATACATAAGTTAACTACGTAACAGTTGACAAATCCGACACATTTATATTTTTATATAATGCCGTACAACCCACACATATTGAACTTTTACGTCACGTATGAACCGAAACTCGCCCGTTTTCTGAGCAGATTTCACCATCTTGGTTCAGGAGGGAAAGAGAGAGACAACCTTTTTTACTGACACTTTCTAAGTCTCTTAACACACAGGGGAGACATATGTATATGTATATATGTAATCAATACATTAAAAAGTGCATTTTAGGGGATAATAGGTGACCTTTTTTAATTTAGAGCTTATTAGTACTGCGTGTCCTTTTTGATTTTTTGTTTGGTGTCTCTTGCAGATATGTTCAAAAAGTTCTCAAAAGTTCTTATATTCAATTCAATAGCTTTATTAGCATGGCCATAGTTACATACAGTATTATCATTAGCCCCGTGCACCAAGGGAGAGAGACTAACTTATGGCAACACAAAATAAAACCTGGTATCGGTGGAGTGATGAGGAGGTGTCGGCGCTTCTGGCGATTTACTCGGAAGGCTTCAGTAGAAGTTGCTGGGAGTCCCAGCAGCTTCTACTGAAGCCAGTCCCCAACTCCGGGGACTTCCGGCCGGGGACTCCGGGTGGCAGTATACACCGTGAAGTTGTTTGCGGCCTGCCAGTAAACCCAAAGCAGAAGAAGAAGAAGAAGACAGCATATTTGCATTTTAAGAAATTATTCACAAAGCATACATAACAAAATAAACACATCTAGATACATACGTTAAAGGTGGGGTAGGTAAGTTTGGAGAAACCGGCTCGAGATCGCTAGAATTTGAAAATACACAGCCGGAGAAATCTGCCACTTCCTCACAGAGCCCCTCCTCCAACACACACGAACGCGCACATGACCAATGAGGGCACGAGATAAGTTTGTGCACAGATGGATGGCTGACAGGCAGGTAGGCCATCCAGTTATTTTAGCCGGGCCGGCTAAAATGATTGGTCGTGCTTTTTACAGTACTACGGCTTCCACAGATGACATTTTTTTTATGGATTTGTTTTAAGATATTCATTGCTATCTGGATGTTAAGAGCATTCCATGGAATATAACAAAAAGTGTATCTCGAGCCGGTTTCTCAAACTTACCTACCCCACCTTTAACTACGGAACAGTTGACAAATCCGAAATAAATAATAATAATAATAAAAGTCATAATACAAATAAAATAATGGATACAGTATTAATACTCAGGTATACATTAATTGTTCACAAAAATAACAATTATTTTTGTTATGGCCCGAAATATGAGCATGGTTTCTGCTCACCGCATTCTCTTCAGCATTTTGTGTTTACTTTGAATTTGGGGTTTCTTAAAGTAACTAATGAATATCTTCCATGTGTATTCTTTCCAGTAGTTTGAGTTAGAATTTATGTTTTCTTATTCTCTCTTACATCTACATAGTTTACATACGATGCATTATTTTACTGAACATCTCCAAATCGTCTTTCAGTAAACTTGACCCGGCGCCAAATCCGTCAAAAATAAACATGAATCTGCTCCAGAATTTGACTAAAACAGAAACATGAAACCAACTTAAAGTGTATTGTGAACTTTTATACTTGCTTCAAAAAGGAAAAAAGTTAACAAAAATAAGACAAAGTAATTTATTTATTTTTAAATATGTATTTTTATTATTATTTGTATTTTGTATTTGTATTTTTTCTTTATTTTTACCTTGTGTGAATCTGGTTTTTAACTCTGACCCTGTTGCTGCTGTAAATGCCTGAATTTCCCTAAGGGGGTAAATAAAGTTCCATCTTATCTTATCTTATCTTATCTTATCTTATCTTATCTTATCTTATCTTAAATTAAGATAAGATAAGATAAGATGGAACTAAGTTAATGGAGCACGTGAAACACATCAGAAATACTGTGGAGAGAAACACGGTAAACAGCGCCCCCTGGTGGCTGGAAAGCACATTGCTAGTACAACATGGTACAGTTATTTAGTATTTAAGTGTCTTTTTAAGTTATTTTTTTAATATTAATCTACTTTATCACATGGCTGGTAGTATTTATTTGACAAAGGTAATTAATTATTCCATTTGGTGAAAAAATGTATGTTATTTTATCTATGTTTGATATCTTTCGTCCTTTTTCCAGCTCAAAGGCAGCCTGGAGCCCAAGGCCAAGAAAAGCCGTCGAACTCAAATAGTGGAGCCCAAAGAAGAAGCAAGCGTGAGACACACACAACACACACACACACACACTCACACTCACACACACACACACACGCACTCACACCACAGAGCTACATTTCCAGATGTATTAAGATATTACAGATTATTTTTATGATATATATGATAGAAAAACATGTGTTTGTTTTTAAATGTATATATTTGATAAAATATCTATCAAAACGTTCTTTATAAGGTGCTTCACAAACACAGAAAAATCAAAGAAATCAGGAATGCAATTGCATAAAAACAGTTAAAAAACAAACAAATATTTGCAATAAAACAGACACTTGTCAGTCCCTGGAATCTCGCAAACCGCATCTTAATTGTTCAAATAAATAGCATTTTGTCTTAAATGTTGTGTAACTGTGCAGTAACTCTGTGCCTCAGTGTTTCTGAAACACCTAAACGTCTCTCTTGTTGTCCTCCATCGCTCCAGTCTCACGTCTCGTCTCTCCTGCAGGACCCCGAGCCAGAGATGGAGGCGGTGAGCTCCAGTCAGGAGATCCCCGTGTCCTCGGCTCCTCCTCAGCCAGAGAAGCTCTCCGTGTCCACGCAGACCAAGAAGACGAGCGGGGGGTCGCCTCGGACGCTGCACCGCGGCACGCAGACCAGCAGCGAGAGCGCCTGCCAGAACATGTGCCACGAGAAGTACACCAAGGTGTTCAACGACGTGAAGGAGATGATGAAGGCCGACAACAAGAGGGAGACGGAGAGGGTGGTGCGGGAGGCGCTGGAGAAGGTGAGGGGGACGAGGAAGTCTTTTACTGGTTGTTTTCCACTTCATCACCACATTTTATTTAACACCCTTTGAAGCTGGGAACAATATCTCAGACTGCAGGGAATACACAAAGAAAAGACACGGAAAATGTATTCAAAAGTGTGTGTGTGTGTGTGTGTGTGTGTGTGTGTGTGTGTCTGTGTGTCTGTGTGTGTGTCTGTGTGTCTGTGTGTGTGTGTGTGTGTGTGTGTGTGTGTGTGTGTGTGTGTGGCAGGAGTACTCAAACTTTTTAATTAAAGGTCCACTTGTAAAGTCCCCCCCCGGAGCGGAGCAACGAAACTGAAATTGAGAAGCAGTTTCTTACGGCGCGCTATGCATGGGGCCCCCTTGAGGGGGTTTCCCGACATGTCGTTGCAGTAAATTAAAGGGTGTTTCATGTTGTCGTTGCTGTGGACCTTCTTAATCTACCTTCTTTGGGGGCCCCCTTCTGGTCCGAGCACTTGCCTGCCTTGCGCCCCTGTATACACACACACACATTCAATACATACATACAGTATGGTGGCTTGAACTAGTGGGAGAAATGGCACTGTTTGTCTGTAGCCAAGAAAAGGCGTTAAAAGCATTAGAAAGTCAAGGTAAACCTGCGGTTAACTTGCAGTCTGCAATGCGTGTCACGCTCGCGCACACAAGTAAATATATATGAACGTTCATTCTCACAACGCGTCAGACACAAGAACATATACATTAATTTACATCAGAATCAGAACGTTGTTATTTTGTATAATTTGTATTTTTCATAATGGGACACAGGGTTCGGTCCGGATTGATTTGTAGTTCTGTCCGGAGTTTGAGAAGCCCTGATCTAGGGTTACCCATTCATTTCCTATGGAGGTTATTTTTGACCGGGAACATCATAGGTGTTACAAAGGTGACTAAACCTCCAAAGAAAGTGGAGATCAGCAGTTTTATATATTCAAAGGACCACTGTGGATTATATCATAAAGCGTGGAGGCAATCAAATGTCAAACACAATATTTATGATTGATGAAAGTGGTGAATCTCTGCGTGTGTGTGTGTGTGTGTGTGTGTGTGTTCTTTATCCTCCCATTTTCACTTCCTTTATAACCCTCGTTCTTCCTTTTCGTGTGTGTGTGTGTGTGTGTGTGTGTGTGTGTGTGTCCGTGTTTCAGCTGCGGGCGGAGATGGAGGAGGAGAAGCGCCAGGCGGTCAGTAAGGCGGTGTCTGGAGCTCAGGGAGAGATGGAGAGGAAGTGTAAGCAGGTGAAGGAGAAGTGTAAAGAGGAGCTGGTGGAGGAGGTGAAGAAGATGGTGGCTCAACACAAACAACTCATCTCCACCACCAAGAAGAAGCAGTGGGTGAGTTACCAGTGTCTCTACTTTAAAGAGTCCTCTCCTGCTGATGTTCAGGTGTATATCAGTATGTAGTGTCTCTACTTTAAAGAGTCCTCTCCTGCTGATGTTCAGGTGTATATCAGTATGTAGTGTCTCTATTTTAAAGAGTCCTCTCCTGCTGATGTTCAGGTGTATATCAGTATGTAGTGTCTCTACTTTAAAGAGTCCTCTCCTGCTGATGTTCAGGTGTATATCAGTATGTAGTGTCTCTACTTTAAAGAGTCCTCTCCTGCTGATGAACTTGAGTCGATCCAGTCTTAATTATTCAGTTTAACACGATATACAATATAGATATTTTACATGTAGTGCTACTGCTCAATCCAAAAGGTTTTCCCTCTGTGTTTAACAGGTTGTTTTCCACTTCTAGCGTACGATAATCACAATAAATTCACACGTAGAAAGTCAAATCTGCTGTTTTAGTTCACGGTGATTGTAGTGGCTAATCAAAGGAATAAAATAGAGACTTAACTGAAACTAAAACTGCTGCTGGGGTACATCTGATCCCTTAAGTTTTGTAAATGGAAAACATTATTTTTATTTGTTAGTTTGTCCAAAATGTCTTATTTTGGACAAACTGGTGGAAAAAAAGGATCTGACTAAAAAGAGAAAAATCTGAAGAAAAATAAATCAGAAAGAAAATGTAATGTAATCTCCGGGAATTATTTATTTTTTATAATTTTGTCATTGAGACTTTCAGAAAAAGAAATCAAATGATATTAAATTCAGAATCCTGGGAAAAAGTCAGAATTCTGAATAAATTATTTAAAAACATATAAAATCTTTTTAATTCTGAGATTAAAGTCAGAATTCTGTCACATATAACTTTTTTTAATAATAGTTTTCTATAATGAACTACACTTTAATGTAAAGTTGAACACAGACTTCCTCTTACGTCTTCATCATTTTCCATCTCTGCTTCCACAATGAATGATGTTTGAAGTTTTTAAAGCCGGTGCAGCTCACTTTATTTATTCTTAATTAATGTAATTATTTGTTTTCCCCCCCCCCCGTTGTGTTTCCAGTGTTATAACTGTGAGGAGGAGGCCATGTATCACTGCTGCTGGAACACCTCCTACTGCTCCATCAAGTGTCAGCAGGAGCACTGGCACGCCGACCACAAACGCACCTGCCGTAGGAAGAGATGAACAAGCCCCGCCCCCTCACACCTGTACACACAACGCCATTGGCTCCCCGAACCCCTCCCTCCCTCCCTCCCTTCCTCCTCCTGTCAGTCAGTGTCTACCACACACACACACACACACACACACACACGATTCTCAACTACTTGCCTTCCTGAAAACTTTGTGTGAGACGAGCGATCCCCCGTTTTTTTGTTTTTATTATTTAACGTGCCCCATTTTAATTGATTTTATACCAGATTGCTCCGATGCAGAGTATGATAATGATTTTTTTTGGGGAAGGGGGGAGGGGGGTGTTTTCTCTTTACTGAAGTGCTAACTTTGAGAATGTGTTATTTAAGTGTGTAGTAACGGACGAGCGTATACATTTTATTACCTGGATTTTTCAAAATCACTTTTCTTACTGTAAATGCAAACAAACACACCGTCGATATTACAATAAAAATTCAAAAAAATACCGTAAGCACTATCAGCATCAAACTAGCTCCGCTTCCATACGGGAAAATTGTTTAAAAAAAATCTGCGTAAGATACTGATTTGGCTCATAATATAATTTAATTAGTTTTTCAATGAAGCGGTGCATAGCATCTCTCCTATGATTTCTACCTACCTTCTTATTGGGAACAGGGTTACTAAAGTTGGCCTTAAAAAAGACGCCGACAAATAAATCTTCCATGTATTATTACATTATAATATAATTATGCACATTTTGAGGCTCTTTATTCAAGTTGTTACGAGTCAAATATGAAAGAAAAAATACGTTTTTAATTGGTTTTAAATGAAGGGAAATGCAGAGCAATCTCCCCTGAGCTGGATCTTGGAGAGGTCACATGACATGACAGTTTTTCACACTTTGTTTCCCAAAAGCTTGCCAAAAAAAAGACATTGTATCGATCCTACCTACGACCAGGTCCTCGTCCTCAAACTGAAATAATTCTGTATATTTTTCAGATTTCCGTGAGTCATTTTTCTAGTGATTTATTTCTTTTTTTAACCCTTTCACTGCGTTGCTGTAGTTGGTGGTCAGTGCCTGTTTTCTCCTTTTCTCCATGCATGTTGATGGCGTCATCCTTTCATTACGGTAAACAAACAACAACAAAGCTTGGTGTTTGATAAGCAGTGACGACGGATGGACCAATATAAAACTTTATGCAAAATGTGATCAAACTAACCTTTTTCTACGGCTCTCCCTGCGGTGTTTAAACACGCCGGGAAACCCTCTCGTTTTTTTTTAAAAAGGGGCAATTAAATTGTCCGGTTTTTTCTTTGAGAAGTGCGACACACTTTTAAAGTCTGTTTCCTCAGTAATGAAGACTGACTGAACGGAGGAAACACTTCACTTACTCTGTATAGATGGCTTTTTTTTTTACACACAGATGGCTGTTAATGAACGTGCTTCTGTTGACGTGTGACAAATAAAATACCGTAAGTCCTCACGTAGTGGGAGGAGCTTCTTTCAACTCCAATCAGATTTAAAGTCCTGAAGCTTCATTTTACTTCAAATAAAAACTCATAAAATGCCACACTGCATACTAATACACTATGTACTATGTATTAATTGTCCTTTTTTCTGCAGAAATTGAGTAAAAACGATCCATTAAATAGACAAACACCTTTGTAAATCATGTTGTGCCAGAAAACATTTGTCAAAAACTGTAGAATTACTCAAATAATATGAAAATGGTGTCAAATAGAACGACAGAGACGGACGGCTTTGCTTTTGTTACGGCGCTCCGACGTCACCGAAGCCATCTTTATATTATATTATATTATATTTATATATCTGATATACAAGATCAGCGCCACAGTACTACATACTTACAAAATGAAGTATGTACTTTTTACTAGAAGAGTGTGTACTGTGACGTAAACGTGCATTACTGTTTTAAACCAACAGCCAAATATACAACATGTTTTATAACTTATATTTCAACGTTATAATACAACTGCTCATTAACTTCAAAATTAAGAAAGCAATTGAGATATTCTTCAATATAGCAGCTCCTCCGGTTCCTTAGTTGGAGCTCTGACTAATGATTATTACATGTTTTTAATTATCTATCCATTCATTTAAATATGTGATTAATGTCAGTAAATAGTGAGTAGGATATTCATGTCTTTAAATATCCTGTTTTATCCATTTAACACTAAAATATATCGCATTTACATGAAATATAAAACTGAGAAAATCCCCGATATGAGGAGCTGCAACCTCAATGATCAAACATGTGAAACACATTTCTTAATTGACTTGATTTTGTCAATACAAGGCAGTCTCAAAACTTTCTTAAAATGGACTTTTGGAAATATTTTCCAGTTTCCTTGAAAGACTTTTATTGTGAACTTGTTCAGAGGGACTACTTTCAGTGGCGGATGAATCCACATGTGGTGCTCTAATGAGTATGTGTGGCAGCAGGGCAGTGTATGAGGAGGTTAAATCAATATAAAGTGCATTATGTGTGTTTTAATAATGCAACGTGCGGCTTTTTGATGAGTTTTTAATGGGTTTTGGATGAAAACAGAGCTCTCAGGCACTAAAAAATATGTTAAATCAAGCTTTAAGTCACACAAAATACTTGTTTTGGACAAATTCAACGTATATTTGAGTCTCTAAATAAGATTTTAATTGGAAATAACAGTGAAAAGAAAGGACTTCTATCCTAAACAGTACGGTAATGAAAAGGCAGCCCACTCTCAGAGGATTTACGGTACCAGACTTCTCTCTCCTGAGTCTTTTTTATTTTTTGGAAACTCATTTAAGTGTATCACTTTAAGATGTAATTGTACAGTTTGACCTCTCTCTGTTCATCCCGCAGCTTCTGGTTTAATACAATGTTCTTCCTCTATCTTCATCATCATCATCATCATTGCACTACATGTAAATAAATCCTCCTTCATATTATATTGTATAAATGGATTCACAGATATCTGTTTCTCCTGTGTTCACAGACGACTGTTAGTTCTAGTTTTGTACAATGTACAACCGCTTATCTCTGAGATGTGTGTCACTTTCTTTCTGTATTGTTTTTCATTAGTTTTGAGTCACACACACTCTCAGCTAAACTGCACCTTCAGCTCACACACACACACACACACATCTCAAACGTTGATGAAACCCAAGCAAACGTTGATTTTAAAAACTCCCTTTTCTGTCGAAGGTGACACATTTTCTATTACAGCTTTTTATATTCGTCCATCCAGCCGTTTTAATAAAAAGAGAATAGGTCTTGGATGTCATTCCTGTTTTTTTTTTTTTACCTGCATGAGTAAAGGTGTGTTTCTTTCGACTCCTTGAAAAAAAGACAGCAATATGACAATGACGTTTATACATTTTCTGGAACTACAGTCGAGCTAAAAAGTGGTTTGAATCCCTGAAATTGGACTTGTTATCGTCTTTGTTCCACATAGTACAGACTGTGTGTACTATATGTCAGTGTGTGGAGTCAAAGCAGAATAAAGTTTCCCCGCCTCATCTTCTGTCCATATGTAAACTATTAAATGTGGTTTAACACTTATTTTCTATGCTCCTGACATTTCGTTTTTGTTTTGATGCTTTAGCTAGCAATATGTATATAAATATATTCTATGTGCTAACATGGAGGAAATAAATGTATCAACAAGTTTCTGAGGCTCCAGTGTTTCCTGTTTCTGAAGATCAACCGTTCACAGACTATCATTCTGTTTTACCATAATGTGACTTTATTTTATTTGACGTACTATTCAACATACTGTACTATAATCTTATCAAATAATAACATACTATACTATGACTTTTTTTAATAAATTCAAGTACTATTCGAAAGATATTTTCAAATATTTCGACATTCCTTACTATGGCTTTTTCATATTTTCCCACATACTATACCATCTCCTTCGACATACTATACTCTAAATGTTTTTATATATTCAACATACTTTGACTGTTTTCAAACCCTTGACCTACTATGCTATGATTTTTTGTTTTGTTGATATACCACACGGAGTTTTTTCATAATTTTAACATACAATGACTTATTTCACATTTCAAGAAATATTATACTAAGACTTAAAAATATTTTTTTCACATACTATACTATGGATCTTTTTCGAATTTTCCGACATGCTTTGACTTCTTTTCAAACCTTTGACATACTATTCTATGACTTTTTTTAAAGGTCCCATGTCATGCTTTTCTGGTTATTACCCGTCCCCTTGTGTGTATGGTTTGTATGCATGTAAACGGTCTGCAGTCACAAACCCTCAAAGTACACCCTGTAGCGAGTAAAACTCATGTACAGTTTCAAAATAAGACATTTGAAGTCTCATATATGAGCTATCATCCCTGTTTTTAGATGACAATAAAACAAAAACTTTCCAGTATCAAAGACTTATTTCACTTCAGGGTGATAGCAGGGCACCCTGCCCCAGAACGCCTCGTTGGAGATTTCTCTTTTTCCATTTTTTTCTACCGGGATCCAAGTAACGTAACGACGACCCAATGGACCAATCCGTGGAGCTCCTCACACACACACACTCTCTCAGCGGCGAAACTGTGACGGGAGCTCCAACAAGCCGTTTAGGACAGAGAGTGAATACACATACTATACAGAGATGCTGTATGAGAAACCAATGTGATTTTGGAACATTGAACAATGTGAATCTATTCTAGTAGACCTCAACAATGGAATTATGATCAGTAGAAATGGCCATGACATGGGACCTTTAATGAATTTTCCGCATACTTAACACATTTCTTTTCACATTTCTGTACATACATACATGACTTGGTTTTCAAATGCTGAAATGTTTTTCACGGGGGACACTTTACAACTAAATGAATAATAATTAATTTGTATTAAATGTGATTAGAGGTCGAAGTCCCAGATTTGAGGAATCTAAAAGCAGAACCGATATAAAAGATCTGCGCATTAAGAAGAGAAGTCTCTGGGAAACTGTTTTAAAGACTGGTTTTAAATGCCATTTTATAATGTGTATTTCTTATGCTTTTCATTTTTGACTTGGCCTTGTGTTGAAAGCATAGACTGTCTATATAAAGGTTGAAAGGTGCTTTATGAATCAGTCAGACCCGCTGCGTAGCGACAATAAATTCACAACATTCCATTTTTTATTGTCAAAATCGTTGAAATATTTATTTAATTGAAAGACTTCATGTCAACTCAAATAAGACATTTTTAAAACCTTTAAAAAAAACATACTGGGGGGGACGACGACATACATCTCGCTGATAAAAGAAAGAAACAAACGGTGAAGAAAGTGCTTTTTTTTCTGAAACTAGAACATTCTCATATTTCCTGCGAAACCTCTCTCCGCTCTCCACTTCCTGTTTTCAGTCTTTTATTTCCTGCCGTGACGTCTCAGTTCGAGCCCTGATTGATCGGTCCGTGTAAAAAATATGACGGACTTTTGACTTTTTCGATATTTACAATCGTAGCGACTGCTCGCCTTCCTGCCGTCCCTCTGAAGAGTTACTGAGGATTCTTTATTTTAATGTTCCTAAATGAATCCTTCTGCATGTTGGTCTGTTTGAATGGAGGAGTTTTATTCCTATTCATGTAATTTTAGAGATGGCATTTGCTCCCTGATAAACGGGACATATGAAGAGTTATGATCCAAAAATATAATATCTGAAAAGTGACATTACTATCATATTCCTCTGCCATCAAAACATATCTCTTCTTTGAAAACGGCACATATTTGTATTCTTATTTGACTTAAAGAGGTGTTTTTAGTGATGTCACTGTGTTACGGAGTCAAAATGGAGGGAGCAGAATATTTCAATTTTTCTCTGGGATGTTTTGGATTATAAATGTATACATAAAACATATTTTAAAATGTTTAAAATACAATGGCACTTGTTTTTTTGGGCGGGGCTGTAAACACTGGTATTTGTAATTTAAGGGCAAGGATGATTTTTCATATCTTTCCTACTTTTTATTGTAAAAAACGGAACTTTTACAGACTTAAAGGTAGGGTAGGTAAGTTTGAGAAACCGGCTCGAGATCGCTAGAATTTGAAAATACACAACCGGAGAAAATCTGCCACTTCCTTACAGAGCCCCTCCTCCAACACACACGGACGCGCACATGACCAATGAGGGCACGAGATAAGTTTGTGCCCAGATGGAAGGCTGACAGGCAGGTAGGCCATCCAGTTATTTTAGCCGGGCCGGCTCAGATGATTGGTCGTGCTTTTTACAGTATTACAGTTTCCACAGATGACATTTTTTTATGGATTTTTTGTCAAAGCACTTAAGATATTCATTGCTATCGGGATGTTAAGAGCATTCCATGGAATATAACAAAAAGTGTATCTTTAGCTGGTTTCTCAAACTTACCTACCCTACCTTTAATATAATAAAAGAGTTGGTTCTTCATGTGGAATAAAACTCCTAAAAACGTATAATTTCACTGATTTAAACATTTCAGACCAACATGCAGGTCGACCTGTGTCTTTATTCTGTGAATCCCTAACGTTTGATATAATCTATAATTATATATATTTCTATTTCCCCGTCCATGAATGTGTTTCCCTCCAGATAATACAATGCTTTTTAGGTGTTTTTTTTTAATAATAGCAAATATTCAAGACCAAAACATTCTTGAATGTCTCATCATAAACTTCTAAAAGAGAAACAAAATAAATTAAATCAGTTTCTTTTTGTACATACTTACATGATATGAAATGATGTGTTGTTGAACAGTAACTGGAGTTAAAGGCTGCAGCTGTTAGCTATTAGCACACTGATCTCCCGCTGAAACGGGACGGACGGTTCGGAAAATAATAAACAAAGTAACGTTTACAAAACAAACAAAAACAACAAGCTAGCATGAATCAAGCGTGTCGTACCTCATCGTAAAGTTCGCTGCGACCCGACCTTCGTATCAAAACATACCCCGCTCTCTGTGATTTGATAAAATATCATCTATGCCACAGATGTTTGTTTTTGTGTAAATATCAAAAAATAGCCTGAACTTTTTTTATGTTAAAGAAAAAACAAACAAGCAAATACTTGAAAACGCAATTTAAAAACCAGAATCTTCGTTAGCGATTGTCCTCTTCTCCGCCTCCAGGATTGACACTTATTTCGGGTAAAAAAAGGAAAGAACTTTCTTGCTTTGAATGGAGTTTGCTGCACATTTTGCATCCTTCAAAATAAAAGCACGGCCTGAGCGCTAATACAACACAACCACTGGATTTTTGGGAGCTAAGTTGGCAGCAGCACGTAGCGACGAATCAGCGTAAAAAAAAGTCTGACTCCGTTTTTTTTATAGTTTCAGTCTCTGGGGCAGAACTTCTTTTTCCTTTCCTCCGCCTCCATGTTATCCACCAGGGGGCGCTACATGTTGTACGCCACATATATAGGGTCCAGCTGGTCGGCTAGGAATCCATCGCGGAGGTGCATTCGCTGCTTTTCGCCACGGGAGTTGATGGGGATGACGCCGATGTCCACGACCACGACAACGCCCACGATCAGGTAGTGCTCCTCCAGCACCACGTTGGTTACCAGGGGCACGAGATCCAGAGCCTCGTGCTCCGATCCGTCCAGCTCCACCACCACCACCAGCAGGTTGGTCCAGGTGAACACCGCGCTGAGGAGGGGAGAACAAGAAGAAGAAGTCAGTGGAATAAGAATAAGTCCTTAAACCCTATGAATGAGTAGGAAGTCAATATATTTTCTGTTGTTAGCGTGAAATAAGGTCCGTGGTTAACACAAGCTGAAGAGATTTTTGATCTACGAACTAAAATACGTGAGTAAATACCCCACTGGTGAATTTAAAAACAGCGGTTGCTAACAAGTGTCTAAATGAGACGACTAAACGTCATCACGCCGCCTTTAGCTTAGCGGTGGTGACGTGAAGTCATGTGACCGTGCTGTAGTTCCTTTATAGCCCAACATTAGCCACCTTTAGCTTAGCGATGGTGACGTGATGTGACTTTGAAAAGTGATAAAGTATTCTCGGGTGTTACTCACCACTCGGTGATGCTCTTGTGCGTCCGGATGACGGAGGTCTCGATGTCGATGGGATGGTAACGCATCCCTCTGAGCTCCATGGCCTCCTCCAGAGCCCCGACCACGTACAGAGCATCGTGACGCTCTGCACACACACACATTTATAGGTTATACATTTATTACTATGGTTTCTGACTTGAATTTCTTTAAATTACATTTCCTCCACGATATGGGAAGTAAAAACCAAAAACTGTTCATAAAACAAAAGAGAAAGTGTGTTGTGTAATTTCCAATGAGTCTGCTGCATTTCTGCTCTATATACACTCAACAAATCCTGGTCAGCTATTATTAGATTATAGTAGTTTTATTTTTACAATTTAGGTATTGAATGTAATAAACATCGTCCATGTCTCTCCGGTGTAAAAGCAGACTAACGGCAGCACTTGAACGCCTCCCTGAAGCCCTTTAATCCTCCTCTCTGTGAACTCTGAAGGTCATCACCCCATAAAGTGCTGATGTGCACTGCAGAGCCAGAGTAACTGAAATGCTGGAGACACTGAAATGGTTAAGTGTCAGACAGAGGTCAACTTATACTTTGTTACATTTTGTCAGAAATATTACAGTGACTCACTCACCACATATATTATCACAAAGGTTTATAGCGCAGTTTGCTCAACATAACTATCAAACACGACATGCAATAGAAGGAATCAAATCAAATATGAGACAGAAAACAGTCATGTCAGGGTCAGCTGGAACTCTTTACCCGTCCATATCATTCATGAACATTCTCAAGTCCAATTCAAAAGGTTGCAAAAAAATCATCTCAGTATTATAAAGTATAATTGAACTGTGCCTGTGGCTATGTATGTATTATTATGTACAATTATTAGTATCTTTTGTTTGGCCTTATGATGGCTAAAATTGGATGACATTTTAGTGTTCACTTCATGTAGCATTGCACATTGCATGAAATGATGAGCTGTTTTGTTTCATGTATGTTTGACAATGTGCGTGAGGACCCCAGGAAGAATAGCCAATGCTCATGCTAGTGCTAATGGGGATCCTAATAAATAATGAGAACATGTCCCCCTCCTCACCCCCGCTGGCGTCCGTCAGCTCGGTGCGCCGCAGGAACCCCAGATACCCGGTTCGAGCCCAGAGGGTCTGCGTGTCTCCGAAGCTCAGCCTGGAGTTGAAGTGGTCGGACTGCAGCGCCTCGTCTCCGTACACCGTGAAGTACCCGCTGGAGTTATGGCCGCTCTGCACCCAGATCTGGAGACAGTCGCATGTTAGAGCAGGGGAGGTATTTAAAACGTTTATTTAATTATCTAATTTCATGTTATATTATTATGTTATTTTATTTTATTTTATTCATAATTTCTTTCTTTATTAAAAACATATATAAATCTTTACATATTTTTTTGGTTTATTGCATCAATGATCATAATCACCTTATATATAATATGATATGTATTAAATTGGCTTTTTGTACCCAATACTTCTACTTTTGGTACTTTAAGTATATTTTGATACCAATATGCAGGATTTGTACTCAGAATTTACAAGGGGAAATTATTACTTCTTTATTTAACATTTTTGCACACGTACCTCTCCCAGGTGCGACTCTCCCATTGGTCCTTTGGTCTCCGGGTTGGCGATGATGATCCGGACCCCCGGCAGGATCTGATCAGAGAACAAACATTAATATTTAAATCATTCAAACATTTTAAATACAGAAAATAAAAAACAACTCACCTTCCCAGACTCCATGAGAGGAAGGCTGTGAGGAGACCCCCGCTCCACCAGTCTGACCCTGAGGAGGGGACAACAAGGAGAGGACTCTTTAAAGTAGAGACACTACATACTGATATACACCTGAACATCAGCAGGAGAGGACTCTTTAAAGTAGAGACACTACATACTGATATACACCTGAACATCAGCAGGAGAGTACTCTTTAAAGTAGAGACACTACATACTGATATACACCTGAACATCAGCAGGAGAGGACTCTTTAAAGTAGAGACACTACATACTGATATACAACTGAACATCAGCAGGAGAGGACTCTTTAAAGTAGAGACACTACATACTGATATACACCTGAACATCAGCAGGAGAGGACTCTTTAAAGTACATACACTACATACTGATATACACCTGAACATCAGCAGGAGAGGACTCTTTAAAGTAGAGACACTACATACTGATATACACCTGAACATCAGCAGGAGAGGACTCTTTAAAGTAGAGACACCACATACTGATATACACCTGAACATCAGCAGGAGAGGACTCTTTAAAGTAGAGACACTACATACTGATATACACCTGAACATCAGCAGGAGAGGACTCTTTAAAGTAGAGACACTACATACTGATATACACCTGAACATCAGCAGGAGAGGACTCTTTAAAGTAGAGACACTACATACTGATATACACCTGAACATCATCAGGAGAGGACTCTTTAAAGTAGAGACACTACATACTGATATACACCTGAACATCAGCAGGAGAGGACTCTTTAAAGTAGAGACACTACATACTGATATACACCTGAACATCAGCAGGAGAGGACTCTTTAAAGTAGAGACACTACATACTGATATACACCTGAACATCAGCAGGAGAGGACTCTTTAAAGTAGAGACACTACATACTGATATACACCTGAACCTCTTGCTCCTGACACTTTAAACTGAAACTGTATTAACTTTTTTTGAGAGTGAGCTGGTGTCTGTCTGAGTTTCTATCTCAGTTTCTCTCCTTTAATCCCAGTGGATCACCTTGTCAGGAGATATTTGAATACATAAATATTCCAGCTTGTCAACACTGAGCTGTTGTCCATTTCTGTGTCCTGGAAAATGTCAGTTTCACCATCTCTGCAAATGAAATCTGACACTAATGCTGAGCACACTGTATTTTTTAAACCTCCTGTTGGTTCATTAAGTCTTCCCTGAAAACTCTGGCAATTTGTGCATAACATTTATTTTTTTTTTATAAATAACTAATGTTTAAAATGGGACATTTCGCAGGCATGTGATACAAATAATAATAATAATATTAATATATTTAATGGAAGTGAATCCGATCAAGAAATACAAGCATGCAATTCCAGAAAGTCTTAAGATATTAGCTGATTATTATTATTTTGCTGCTTTAAAGGGGGCCCTGTTATGCTTTTTTATTAACTGTACAAACCCTAAAAAGCAGAACAAGGCCTCTTTAAATACAGGTTTTGACATTGTGTGTTTGTACTTTTACTAGTTACTCATAAGTAAAGGTAATTAACGTTTTCCACTACTTTTAGTTTCCAATTTCTTAGTTAAAAAACGATAAATAAGTTGCTGTTTTCTTGAACTCACCTGTCATGTCGTAGCGCTCTCATGTCAACGAACACGGTGGTGGGGTCGGGTCCTGAGGTGCCCTGAGGAACAACAACAACACATTGTTTACCTTTACAATTCAATACCAATACTAATATAGTGCATCTGCATGACTAATCTACTCCTACAGTGGAGGCGACTACTCGTGCTTTTAGTGCTCAGAGGGAAGAGCTTTGAGTTTCAGACAGAAAACTTCTACAACATTTTACAGGATTTACGGGAGATCAGCTGCGGGATGATTGTAGAAGGAAAACAAAACACAAATTAAAGTATTAACAAAAATATTCCAACATAAAAAGCTTTCTAAAATCTACTTGATTAGCGTGCATGGAAAGAAAAAAGAGGGGAAAGTGAAACCAAGCAGAGGAGAAAAGAAAGATGGAAGAGAGGGGTGATGAACATACACTACATTAAAATATACATCTAGAAAATAGGATTTAACCCTATAGAGTGGTGCAGGGATGGAACTACAGCACGGTCACATGACTTCACGTCACCACCGCTAAGCTAAAGGTGGCTAACGTTGGGCTATAAAGGAACTACAGCACGGTCACATGACTTCACGTCACCACCGCTAAGCTAAAGGTGGCTAACGTTGGGCTATAAAGGAACCACAGCACGGTTACATGACTTCACGTCACCACCGCTAAGCTAAAGGCGGCTAATGTTGGGCTATAAAGGAACTACAGCACGGTTACATGACTTCACGTCACCACCGCTAAGCTAAAGGTGGCTAATGTTGGGCTATAAAGGAACTACAGCACGGTCACATGACTTCACGTCACCACCGCTAAGCTAAAGGTGGCTAACGTTGGGCTATAAAGGAACCACAGCACGGTTACATGACTTCACGTCACCACCGCTAAGCTAAAGGCGGCTAATGTTGGGCTATAAAGGAACTACAGCACGGTTACATGATTTCACATCACCATCGCTAAGCTAAAGGTGGCTAACGTTGGGCTATAAAGGAAATACAGCAAAGTCACATGACTTCACGTCACCACCGCTAAGCTAAAGGCGGCTAATGTTGGGCTATAAAGGAACCACAGCACGGTTACATGACTTCACGTCACCATCGCTAAGCTAAAGGTGGCTAACGTTGGGCTATAAGGGAACTACAGCACGGTCACATGACTTCACGTCACCACCGCTAAGCTAAAGGCGGCTAATGTGGGGCGTGATGACGTTTAGTCGTCTCATTCAGACACTTGTTATCAACGGCTGTTTTTAAATTCACCAGTGGGGTATTTACTGATGTATTTTATGTCGTAGAACAAACATCTCTTCAGCTTGTGACTTTCAGGAATTGATCAAATGCCGACTCATTCCTGCAACACTCTATGGATATCAGTTATACTCCTCTGTTTTTTATTGTGATTATGAATGAAAACGTGAAGTGAAGTCAGAGAAACAGAAAGATAAAGCCCCGCTCCTCTCTCTCTCTTCCTCCACCATCCCTCCTTCCCCTCGTTTCTCTCTCAGAGGGGATTAATAAACCTTTGCAGAGAGAAACTGAACACACAGCCCACCACCGGACACACAGCCCACCACCGGACACACAGCGGCACAAACACACACCCAGAGAACAACATGGCCGACTGCATCAGCTCCATCATGTAGCAATTTTTTTGTACAATTTAACAGTTAGTGCCATACTAATAATGGTTTGTACTGGCGGAGAAGTGGGAGTTTCTGTTGACTTTTTAAGTGTTTAAAAAAATTGTTTAGGTCACTATTGTAATCTATTATCAATGCACGCTCACACAATAATTTTGCTCCACAATTTACATTTTTCCATCCATCCGTTGGTAGTTTTTGATCTTGAACACTGAAAAATATAATAATGTATTCAAACTTTTTATTTCTTTCATTTCTGAAATATTTCATTTTCATTTTTCACTTTTTATATAAGCTTTGAAATTGAGATATTTTTCAGATTTTATGTTCTCAGATTCAGATAATTTTTGTCTAGTATATTTTCCTTATTTCTGCTTTACTTGTAGATGTTCAAGGCCAAAACTGTGCTGTAGCGACAGTATTGTGCACGTGTCATTAAAACTTTGGAATCCTTTGAGCAAATTATCTCCATTGACCTCTGCAGATTAGCATTAAAACTAGTTGATTTTGGAGCATTATTTCTGGTTTTCAGCTTAAATCATGGTGCGACCAGGCGCTAACTTTAGTGAATCCAGACTACCTGTAGCTCCTTTCATCTGTAACCTTGAAACAATGACTAATTTACTGATAATATTCCCTAAAATCTCTGATCTGAAGCCAGCTGATGAGCGATGAGCTGACAGGAAGTGGGTGGAGGTGGTGGTGTTTCAGGAAGGAAGTGATGGTGTTTCATACCTGATCCGAAAACTTCCCCAGCCTGTGAGGCTACAGCAGCAGAGAGGAAGAGGAGGAGGAGGAGGAGAGAGAGAGGAAGAGAGAGAGAGAGGAGGAGGAAGATGAGAGATGTGGGCGGGGTTATGATTAAAACAAGGAAGGAAGAAAGAAAGAAAAATGTCAAAATGTCAAACTGAAGGAAACCAAAGGAGCGTTCAGCCGGCTGTTAGTTTCATTAAGAAAGCTGCTAAAAAACATGGTGTCTTATTAGAGGTTATTACATTATGTTAATATCTGTAACAATATGTAGAATATTCTCCATAGAGGCGTACATGTTATCTATAACTTAGGATCAATATCTCAATGTTAAGCAATACTTTCATGTTATCTATAACTTAAGATCAATATCTCAATGTTAAGCAATACTTTCATGTTATCTATAACTTAGGATCAATATCTCAATGTTAAGCAATACTTACATGTTATCTATAACTTAGGATCAATATCTCAATGTTAAGCAATACTTTCATTCAATGGAATATTGGAAATACATGTAATTTAAGATCACATGACGTCCTTCTATCCTCTACTGACTTAGTGACATTACAAATATGTATTATGATCAAAAGAAATACTTTTATATAAAAAGTATAACATATTTAATAAAAATGCACAGTCATAAAATACAAATAAATAAAAAACAATTCATAATTTCATAAAAAAACATACTGTAAAAAATACAAATGTTTACAGTATAAGAAATATACTTTAAATACAATTTTGGGAATGACCTGATTTAATCCAAATCGTTTGATTGTGCTTTAATTTAGAAAATAAAACGTTGTGACAATTTAAAAAAACACAAAAAATGGTAAAGAAAATATAAGAAAAATAAACTTTAAATTGAGCTTGGAGACAACATGATTTGATCCACTTCAGGGTTCAAATCATATCTGAGATGTAAAAGCAATGATTGGCTGGAAATGGAGGAATGACACACAGAAAGAGCTGAATGTTTCCTAAATAGTTTTATTTTTTTGATGATTAAGAACAGAACGACTGTGGCTTTCATTTTCATAACTGTCCAACTATTGAACCTGTTATCTCCCCGCAAACCTGTTATTAGGTACCTAATTGACCTGTTGCATCTTTAAAGGTCCCCTATTATACTGTTCTTCATCAATATATCACAGGTCTCAGATATATACAGAGCCTGTCTCTGATTGGCTGAAACACCAAACAGATCATTGCAGCATCCCATAATCCCCTCTGTTTCAGCCCTGTTTCCAAAGTGCTGATTCTCTGTCTGTTACTTCAGATGAAAATAAGGAGCCCCTCCCCACGCCCCTCTGAGAGATATTTGGTTACAAAGAACACAATGGTGCTCTAGGAGGAGATTCAGGTGGGGGTTACCTTGGTTGCTGATTGGCTAATGGTTACTCAAGCCAAAAAATCGTTATGACATCATAAAGTGGCCAAAATCTGATCAGCTCATTTTCAGGCAGGTTTTTATATAAATGGATCAGGACAAAAAGAGAGAGAATCTCTTTACACAGAGGGGACACATGTTGATGTAGAGAAGATGTGAACAAGTGGATTTTGCATAATAGGTGACCTTTAAAAAAAGAAGTACATATGGTCCTTATTGCACTTACATCCACACACTTTAAAACCAAAGATAAACATGTTTCATCTGCCCAGGATGTGTAGACATGTTTCAAAAGATCAAATAAAATGCTCTAAACTTTGAATGCCATACAGACAGAATCGCAGGGATGTGGTTTAACCTGGAATGCCCAAAATTGTACGATATAAAACTCAATTTATGGTTTCATCTGAGAGCTGGAAAGCTGATTGAGATGAGTCCTTGGTCTCTAAAAGCACCAATTCATTTTAAGGCTAATGGACAAAAATACGTGTTAACAAAGAGCTAACTTCCTAACGTACTATTTCAGCTAACTTCTTCCACAAGTACACACACTGTACATTTATATTCAATCTAATATTTAATATTCCATTCCTCACATACTTATGTATATATCATATCCTGCTTTATATTTTGTTACTGTTCATTTGTAATTCAACATGTATATTTTCTACTTTTTCTTTTAATGCTATTTTATTTCTATGAAGGTGTTTACATTTTGGATTGTTTATTTATAGTCTTTACATTTGTATTGTACAATGCCATGTGTCTTTTTATGCTGCTGCAACGCAAACATGTCCCGAATTAGGATCAATAAAGTACTTCTTATCTTATCTTACAAACAAAATGCACCAGAAGCTTTTGTCAAAATCAGCTTCTTAAAAAGGTATGAACAAAGTTAGTTTCTCCAAATCCAGCGAGTCACCTCAATGACTGACACTGGGCATGTATTGTCGAAACACAATACAAAGATTTGTTATCAGCAGAGGTGGGAAGTAGTGGAGTACAAATACTTTGTTACTGTACTTAAGTACATGTTTCTGGTATCAGTACTTTACTCCACTACTTATTTTTCTGACGACTTTTTACTTTGACTTCTTACATGTTGAACACAAATACCTGTACTTTCTACTTCTTACATGTTGAACCCAAACACCTGTACTTTCTACTTCTTACATGTTGAACCCAAATACCTGTACTTTCTACTTCTTACATGTTGAACCCAAACACCTGTACTTTCTACTTCTTACATGTTGAACCCAAATACCTGTACTTTCTACTTCTTACATGTTGAACCCAAATACCTGTACTTTCTACTTCTTACATTTTTAACTCAAATACCTGTACTTTCTACTTCTCACATGTTGAACACAAATACCTGTACTTTCTACTTCTTACATTTTGAACACAAATACCTGTACTTTCTACTTCTTACATGTTGAACACAAATACCTGTACTTTCTACTTCTTACATGTTGAACACAAATACCTGTACTTTCTACTTCTTACATGTTGAACCCAAATACCTGTACTTTCTACTTCTTACATGTTGAACACAAATACCTGTACTTTCTACTTCTTACATGTTGAACCCAAATACCTGTACTTTCTACTTCTTACATGTTGAACTCAAATACCTGTACTTTCTACTTCTTACATGTTGAACTCAAATACCTGTACTTTCTACTTCTTACATGTTGAACCCAAATACCTGTACTTTCTACTTCTTACATTTTGAACACAAATACCTGTACTTTCTACTTCTCACATGTTGAACCCAAATACCTGTACTTTCTACTTCTTACATTTTGAACACAAATACCTGTACTTTCTACTTCTTACATGTTGAACCCAAATACCTGTACTTTCTACTTCTTACATTTTTAACTCAAATACCTGTACTTTCTACTTCTCACATGTTGAACACAAATACCTGTACTTTCTACTTCTTACATTTTGAACACAAATACCTGTACTTTCTACTTCTTACATGTTGAACACAAATACCTGTACTTTCTACTTCTTACATGTTGAACCCAAATACCTGTACTTTCTACTTCTTACATTTTGAACACAAATACCTGTACTTTCTACTTCTTACATGTTGAACACAAATACCTGTACTTTCTACTTCTTACATGTTGAACACAAATACCTGTACTTTCTACTTCTTACATGTTGAACCCAAATACCTGTACTTTCTACTTCTTACATGTTGAACACAAATACCTGTACTTTCTACTTCTTACATGTTGAACACAAATACCTGTACTTTCTACTTCTTACATGTTGAACCCAAATACCTGTACTTTCTACTTCTTACATGTTGAACTCAAATACCTGTACTTTCTACTTCTTACATGTTGAACTCAAATACCTGTACTTTCTACTTCTTACATGTTGAACCCAAATACCTGTACTTTCTACTTCTTACATTTTGAACACAAATACCTGTACTTTCTACTTCTTACATGTTGAACCCAAATACCTGTACTTTCTACTTCTTACATGTTGAACACAAATACCTGTACTTTCTACTTCTTACATTTTGAACACAAATACCTGTACTTTCTACTTCTTACATGTTGAACACAAATACCTGTACTTTCTACTTCTCACATGTTGAACACAAATACCTGTACTTTCTACTTCTTACATGTTGAACCCAAATACCTGTACTTTCTACTTCTTACATTTCCCAAACAGGCTGGTTCCTTTAGTTTGAATGTGTGTTTGGTGGCGTGATCATTATTATTTAGAGTCATTGCGTGCCTATTGATTTGAACACGATCCGTGTATCCATCATTTCCTGGTCTTCTCTAAAGAAGAGGGACCAATGAAAACGTTGTCATGTTGCCGTTGTTCAGCATGGAAACATTCATTAGCTAACAATGACATTATTGTTCTATTAATATAAAGGGAGGTCAGGTACTCTTTAAAACAGCTGCTAGTTATGGGTACTTTTTACTGAAGTACATTTCAAAGCCCTCTTTACTTTTACTTGAGTAAAGAAGTTTAGTCAGTACTTCTACTTTTACCAGAATATTTTAAAACACGAGTATCTGTACTTCTACTTGAGTAAAGGATGTGTGTACTTTGGGTTTATTGTGTTACCTGCAGGCAGATGGCGAGGTTGACCCGGCAGCCGAAGGAGGTGCTGACGGCCCGCGGGTGGAGGCCCAGATCCTTGAAGAGTTTGGAGAAGGACTGAGTGAGGGCGGTGCGAGGACGCTCCTCCGCTACGACCACGCAGGTCCTGACCCGGGACAGGTCCAGCCCCCGAGCCTGCAGCAGAACAAAAACATTTAGTTATATAATTATTTATTTATTTATGTATTTATTTATTTATCAGCAGCACTCTTTAAAGTAGAGACACTACAAACTGATATACACCTGAACATCATCAGGAGAGGACTCTTTAAAGTAGAGACACTACATACTGATATACACCTGAACATCAGCAGGAGAGGACTCTTTAAAGTAGAGACACTACATACTGATATACACCTGAACATCAGCAGGAGAGGACTCTTTAAAGTAGAGACACTCTATACTGATATACACCTGAACATCAGCAGGAGAGGACTCTTTAAAGTAGAGACACTACATACTGATATACACCTGAACATCAGCAGGAGAGGACTCTTTAAAGTAGATAAATATATACACCTGAACATCAGCAGCAGAGAACTCTTTAAAGCAGGACTCTTTACCTTCAGGGAGTCAGTCTGCAGCCCCAGTCCCTTGGTGCAGAGCTCCATGACGCTGTAGGAGCAGAAAGTGTCTCGGACCTTGAACTGACTGACGGCCGACAGCCAGAGGGAGGGGTTGAGCTCCAGCTCTGAGGGGGGGATCAGGATGGACTGGTGCCCCGAGTACACACTGTGGGAGGGACAAGACAAAACACAAAACATCTGAGCAAAGAGGGGTTGATGCCAAAAATCTAGAAATGCATGTTGATTTTAACGAGCTAGCTAAACTGAAATCCAAGCGAAAACACGCCGTAAACCTTTTTATACAGTAGTTATTTAATTTTGTATTTTTTCCAGTGAACAGATTATTTAGGCAAACAAACACAATAAGACATAGCCCTCTACAAGAT